TGTCAGTGCAGTGTATCAGAATTGACTGAATCTCTCGCAATCACATTCTGATTGCGAGAATAAGACCGACAAGACTTTCTTGGCCGATCTTATGATCGAAATACAGTCATTTCTGGTACACTGTCAGTGCAGTGTATCAGAATTGACTGAATCTCTCGCAATCACATTCTGATTGCGAGAATAAGACCGACAAGACTTTCTTGGCCGATCTTATGATCGAAATACAGTCATTTCTGGTACACTGTCAGTGCAGTGTATCAGAATTGACTGAATCTCTCGCAATCACATTCTGATTGCGAGAATAAGACCGACAAGACTTTCTTGGCCGATCTTATGATCGAAATACAGTCATTTCTGGTACACTGTCAGTGCAGTGTATCAGAATTGACTGAATCTCTCGCAATCACATTCTGATTGCGAGAATAAGACCGACAAGACTTTCTTGGCCGATCTTATGATCGAAATACAGTCATTTCTGGTACACTGTCAGTGCAGTGTATCAGAATTGACTGAATCTCTCGCAATCACATTCTGATTGCGAGAATAAGACCGACAAGACTTTCTTGGCCGATCTTATGATCGAAATACAGTCATTTCTGGTACACTGTCAGTGCAGTGTATCAGAATTGACGAATCTCTCGCAATCACATTCTGATTGCGAGAATAAGACCGACAAGACTTTCTTGGCCGATCTTATGATCGAAATACAGTCATTTCTGGTACACTGTCAGTGCAGTGTATCAGAATTGACTGAATCTCTCGCAATCACATTCTGATTGCGAGAATAAGACCGACAAGACTTTCTTGGCCGATCTTATGATCGAAATACAGTCATTTCTGGTACACTGTCAGTGCAGTGTATCAGAATTGACTGAATCTCTCGCAATCACATTCTGATTGCGAGAATAAGCCGACAAGACTTTCTTGGCCGATCTTATGATCGAAATACAGTCATTTCTGGTACACTGTCAGTGCAGTGTATCAGAATTGACTGAATCTCTCGCAATCACATTCTGATTGCGAGAATAAGACCGACAAGACTTTCTTGGCCGATCTTATGATCGAAATACAGTCATTTCTGGTACACTGTCAGTGCAGTGTATCAGAATTGACTGAATCTCTCGCAATCACATTCTGATTGCGAGAATAAGACCGACAAGACTTTCTTGGCCGATCTTATGATCGAAATACAGTCATTTCTGGTACACTGTCAGTGCAGTGTATCAGAATTGACTGAATCTCTCGCAATCACATTCTGATTGCGAGAATAAGACCGACAAGACTTTCTTGGCCGATCTTATGATCGAAATACAGTCATTTCTGGTACACTGTCAGTGCAGTGTATCAGAATTGACGAATCTCTCGCAATCACATTCTGATTGCGAGAATAAGACCGACAAGACTTTCTTGGCCGATCTTATGATCGAAATACAGTCATTTCTGGTACACTGTCAGTGCAGTGTATCAGAATTGACTGAATCTCTCGCAATCACATTCTGATTGCGAGAATAAGACCGACAAGACTTTCTTGGCCGATCTTATGATCGAAATACAGTCATTTCTGGTACACTGTCAGTGCAGTGTATCAGAATTGACGAATCTCTCGCAATCACATTCTGATTGCGAGAATAAGACCGACAAGACTTTCTTGGCCGATCTTATGATCGAAATACAGTCATTTCTGGTACACTGTCAGTGCAGTGTATCAGAATTGACTGAATCTCTCGCAATCACATTCTGATTGCGAGAATAAGACCGACAAGACTTTCTTGGCCGATCTTATGATCGAAATACAGTCATTTCTGGTACACTGTCAGTGCAGTGTATCAGAATTGACGAATCTCTCGCAATCACATTCTGATTGCGAGAATAAGACCGACAAGACTTTCTTGGCCGATCTTATGATCGAAATACAGTCATTTCTGGTACACTGTCAGTGCAGTGTATCAGAATTGACGAATCTCTCGCAATCACATTCTGATTGCGAGAATAAGACCGACAAGACTTTCTTGGCCGATCTTATGATCGAAATACAGTCATTTCTGGTACACTGTCAGTGCAGTGTATCAGAATTGACGAATCTCTCGCAATCACATTCTGATTGCGAGAATAAGACCGACAAGACTTTCTTGGCCGATCTTATGATCGAAATACAGTCATTTCTGGTACACTGTCAGTGCAGTGTATCAGAATTGACGAATCTCTCGCAATCACATTCTGATTGCGAGAATAAGACCGACAAGACTTTCTTGGCCGATCTTATGATCGAAATACAGTCATTTCTGGTACACTGTCAGTGCAGTGTATCAGAATTGACTGAATCTCTCGCAATCACATTCTGATTGCGAGAATAAGACCGACAAGACTTTCTTGGCCGATCTTATGATCGAAATACAGTCATTTCTGGTACACTGTCAGTGCAGTGTATCAGAATTGACGAATCTCTCGCAATCACATTCTGATTGCGAGAATAAGACCGACAAGACTTTCTTGGCCGATCTTATGATCGAAATACAGTCATTTCTGGTACACTGTCAGTGCAGTGTATCAGAATTGACGAATCTCTCGCAATCACATTCTGATTGCGAGAATAAGACCGACAAGACTTTCTTGGCCGATCTTATGATCGAAATACAGTCATTTCTGGTACACTGTCAGTGCAGTGTATCAGAATTGACCGAATCTCTCGCAATCACATTCTGATTGCGAGAATAAGACCGACAAGACTTTCTTGGCCGATCTTATGATCGAAATACAGTCATTTCTGGTACACTGTCAGTGCAGTGTATCAGAATTGACCGAATCTCTCGCAATCACATTCTGATTGCGAGAATAAGACCGACAAGACTTTCTTGGCCGATCTTATGATCGAAATACAGTCATTTCTGGTACACTGTCAGTGCAGTGTATCAGAATTGACCGAATCTCTCGCAATCACATTCTGATTGCGAGAATAAGACCGACAAGACTTTCTTGGCCGATCTTATGATCGAAATACAGTCATTTCTGGTACACTGTCAGTGCAGTGTATCAGAATTGACCGAATCTCTCGCAATCACATTCTGATTGCGAGAATAAGACCGACAAGACTTTCTTGGCCGATCTTATGATCGAAATACAGTCATTTCTGGTACACTGTCAGTGCAGTGTATCAGAATTGACCGAATCTCTCGCAATCACATTCTGATTGCGAGAATAAGACCGACAAGACTTTCTTGGCCGATCTTATGATCGAAATACAGTCATTTCTGGTACACTGTCAGTGCAGTGTATCAGAATTGACCGAATCTCTCGCAATCACATTCTGATTGCGAGAATAAGACCGACAAGACTTTCTTGGCCGATCTTATGATCGAAATACAGTCATTTCTGGTACACTGTCAGTGCAGTGTATCAGAATTGACCGAATCTCTCGCAATCACATTCTGATTGCGAGAATAAGACCGACAAGACTTTCTTGGCCGATCTTATGATCGAAATACAGTCATTTCTGGTACACTGTCAGTGCAGTGTATCAGAATTGACCGAATCTCTCGCAATCACATTCTGATTGCGAGAATAAGACCGACAAGACTTTCTTGGCCGATCTTATGATCGAAATACAGTCATTTCTGGTACACTGTCAGTGCAGTGTATCAGAATTGACCGAATCTCTCGCAATCACATTCTGATTGCGAGAATAAGACCGACAAGACTTTCTTGGCCGATCTTATGATCGAAATACAGTCATTTCTGGTACACTGTCAGTGCAGTGTATCAGAATTGACCGAATCTCTCGCAATCACATTCTGATTGCGAGAATAAGACCGACAAGACTTTCTTGGCCGATCTTATGATCGAAATACAGTCATTTCTGGTACACTGTCAGTGCAGTGTATCAGAATTGACCGAATCTCTCGCAATCACATTCTGATTGCGAGAATAAGACCGACAAGACTTTCTTGGCCGATCTTATGATCGAAATACAGTCATTTCTGGTACACTGTCAGTGCAGTGTATCAGAATTGACCGAATCTCTCGCAATCACATTCTGATTGCGAGAATAAGACCGACAAGACTTTCTTGGCCGATCTTATGATCGAAATACAGTCATTTCTGGTACACTGTCAGTGCAGTGTATCAGAATTGACCGAATCTCTCGCAATCACATTCTGATTGCGAGAATAAGACCGACAAGACTTTCTTGGCCGATCTTATGATCGAAATACAGTCATTTCTGGTACACTGTCAGTGCAGTGTATCAGAATTGACCGAATCTCTCGCAATCACATTCTGATTGCGAGAATAAGACCGACAAGACTTTCTTGGCCGATCTTATGATCGAAATACAGTCATTTCTGGTACACTGTCAGTGCAGTGTATCAGAATTGACCGAATCTCTCGCAATCACATTCTGATTGCGAGAATAAGACCGACAAGACTTTCTTGGCCGATCTTATGATCGAAATACAGTCATTTCTGGTACACTGTCAGTGCAGTGTATCAGAATTGACCGAATCTCTCGCAATCACATTCTGATTGCGAGAATAAGACCGACAAGACTTTCTTGGCCGATCTTATGATCGAAATACAGTCATTTCTGGTACACTGTCAGTGCAGTGTATCAGAATTGACCGAATTTATAACAATCAGATGCAATTGCGACCAAGTTTTCGAACTTTCTCGAGGGAATAGGAGCCTACCTTTGTGACTTTTATCTTTTTAAATTGAAGTATGTTTCTGTTGAAATGATATTATTCATTAGATATTTGTTATTTTGATATGTAAACGTTAAATATAAAAGCATATGATATGATTGCATTCAATTTGTAAGCATGGACTTTTTATCATTACATGAAATTCGGAATGTGTACTATTGTTTAAATTTGAAATATCGTGATAAGACTCAAGTAAATAAGAAGAATGAATTGAAAATACTAATATTTTGAAATATATTTACAAAATAAATATGAAAATAACAAACAAAAATAGAATATAGAATATAATAAAATATAATAAAATTATAATGTTTTCAGGATTTTGTTGCATTTAGATTCAACTGCTGAGTTACCGAATTTGATGGATGAAATTTTAATCTCATTGTAAAGTTCTTTAGATGATGTTTCTGGACATAGTTTAGCTGATGCAAGTGCTTCGTCAAGATTACCAATCTTACAGAAACTTTTGCACTTACAAAATTCACTGAAAACGTTCTCTTTGATGAACTGTGTCAAATACTTGAAGCTCTCTTCGTCGTGATGACTTTGACTGTCAATGATGATAGAAATGATGATGTCGATAGCAAGTTCGTATTCGATTCCGTGACACTTCTTACCAAGTGTCTTAAGCCATCGTTCAACTGATCCTTCACTAGATTTACGAAAACTACTAACAACTTGTGAACAAATGTCTTCGAATGTGAAATATGAGGCAAGATCTGGGGAAATGTCAAGGACAATAGTAACTTCGCATAAACGCATAAGCATACAACATGTAGACATGGCATCTTCTGATGATGTAACAATAGAAATAGATGGAGAATAACTGATTTCACGTTGATTGCATATGTTGATGATTCGTTTCTGGTTTTCGCATCGGTTCTTAAGTAAAACATATTTCTTCTTTTCGGATAATGATGTTTGTGTTTTGATAACAACATCAACTGACTTGATAAGATCATTAAGAATTTTGACTTCTTCGTTGAATGACTTGCTGTTACGAAGACTGATAGTTAGGAATGTGACAAGACGTTCTGACATGTTAAGTGACTTGTAAATGTCAATCAAGATGTCGAAACAATGATAACTTTCGATTTTACGAACAAAACGCTCGAATTCGAAATCGTTAAGAATTCGACGTCGATTGTATGTAGACCAAAGACAACTCCATGTTTCAAATGATGTACTAAGTGCAGGGGTGAAAATATTATCAATGAAAAAGTCACAGTCACCTTCAGCAATGTTGAAGATGTCGAATGCTTGATCAAACTGTTGATGAATAACACAGAATGAACATGCACAATCATATATTTGAAGTTGTAATAATACATCTGAAATAGAAATAATATCGGGATGGAATTCTTCGAAATGTGGAATTGGTGAATTAGAAATATTTTCTTTGAATGTTTCAATACAATCAATGTTTGATGGAATAGAAATGCGCATCTTAGACATCATTGTACTGATGATCTTTTCACCAAATTCTCGTGATTTAGATTGGCATTGAAGAAGACCCATGGATTGAAGTGATAATGAAAGTTTAGCACAGATAACAGAAAACTCTTCGCCGTATGGGGTAAAACTAACTGAGAATGCATTACAAAGAATGTCAAGTGTCGAAAGATCATCGATCTTGAAACAAATGTCAATCAGTTTCTTGTGATCACTCAACTTGTAAACAATGTCATATCGTGAACAAACAAAACGTGAAACAAACCGAAGAAGAGCATCAAATTTACAATCATTAAGAATTCGAAGTTCGCGAAGTAAAAGGAAAACTTCATATTCGTCTTCGCTATTGTCGATATCAAATGTCTGAAAGAATTCTTCTGAAAGACTTTTGATAAGACTATAATCGCGTGATTTAATGATCAATGTCTTCAATGATGAGATTTGTTGACCATATTTCCTTCGTTCACGAAGATACCAACTGTAAAGACTCAATTTGTCATCTTCTTGACGAATATCGTTTTTGTTGGAATCAACTGACCATTTTGACTGGATTTTTGTGATTTCTTCTTCAACAATTTCAACAACAGTTTGAGGAAGTGAATATAAATAACGATAAAGAAACTGTGATGAATTCTTGAAGATATGAAAAACATGATCTGGAATGTAACCACTGAAGAAATGGCAAAATTCATCTTCAAGTTTGAAATCTAAAATAAATTGTTGCAAAAGAGAATGGTTTGTAATTGAAAGAAGGAAATTGAAGATGTTTGTGATGTTCATAGATGTAATGCCGAGTTTTTGTAGTCCAAATAATGATGTTTTATCTGAATATGGAAGAAATTGAGAAATTTCGAATGGTGTAAATTCTTCAAAATGATTTTCAACTTCTTTTGTGAAAAGTTCTGGACGTCGGAAGAAAAGATCGTTCATTTCGTCAAAATCGAGTGGTTTCTCAGTATGAAACTTAGAAATAAAATCGGAATCACTAAGTGCAACAAAGTCTGGATCTGGTTCTTTCTGCAAAAACAATCGTTTAAGAGGAGAATTGCCTTCGATTTTAGCAGCTGATGGATTATTGATAAGAAGACAATATGCACATACTTCGCATTTCTTGCGGATAAGCTCAAACAAGTATGAATTGACTTCATAAACATTTTCATGTGCTAAAATGGTTTCATATGAATGTTCACCAAGTAAAATACGTAATGATTCTTCTTCAGTGAGATATGATGTTTCAACAATGATCTGGACAAGTTCTGGAATACGAAGTCGTCCTTTCTTTTGGATCTTAGCACGACGCATTAATCGTGAATATGTATATCGATATCGCATGAAATCGGAGAAGTGGCCACCATAGTTCATGCACAAGTAGCCGATGTATTTGAATGAATCAAGACATTCTTTGATGTATTCGGAACGAATAAGATCAAGTGGATGATTTTGTTTCTTTCGTTGTTCATATAATATTTTGGCTTCTGAACAAGATACACAGTCAATGTTCAATTCGCCAAAAATACCTCGTGAAAAGAACTTCTCGACAAAGTATATATCTGGTTTATCATATATTGTCGATTCTTCACAAACAATGCACTTAACGATGTTGAAAAGTGTTGGCATGTTTGCAGACATGTATAATGCAATGTCTGGTTCATTCATGTTCAACATCTTGATGACACCTTCTTGTGTAGAAACTAATGCTGATTCAAGAGTTTCTGAACCTAAGATTTTTGTGAATAAAAAGCGACCAGTTGCACTTTTCATGAAGCCTTCATCTGAAAGAAAACCTGAAATACAAAGAAGAATTTGTTCGGCCATATTGACATCACAAATATATTTGTTGTCTTTACGAAGGAAGATAAGTGAGAATAAGTCAACAACTAATGATTTTCGCTTTTCTTCGTCTTCAATCATAACTAAAAGATCACCAATATAAAGAGGTGTTTTCTGTGTGATGAAGTTCAATGCATTTGTAAGAGCAATGTATCCGAATATGAATGCGAAATCGGATTTACGCTCTGAATCACTGATACAAAAATATTGACGCTGTGAAAGATCTTCAAGAGAACTAAGATCAAGATGGAGAATTCGTGGAAAAAGTAATTGTGAAACTGATGAGTAATGAAAGTCTGATGAAACAATTTCTAAACCTGTGTTTTCGTTAACATAATTAGTAATGATTGAATCATTAACAATTCGATTGATGATGTTACATGGACTGTTGTATGATGTGAGATGTTTCATGAATTCGATATATTCTTCTGAGTTTTTGTATGTATCGTAGAAACAAATGAAAATGGGACCAATAAGATCTGGAAATTTCTTCATTTGTTCGAAATATGAGTTGAAATTGCCTGAATTCAACATGTTAAGTGGTTTCTCAAGGATAAGATCAACTAAGTTTCGTTTCTTGATGATGCATGTGTTAGACATTTGAAAGTGTGAGCCTTGTTCGAATAATTCGGAGTGTTGGATGTTTGGTTCTGAGAAGAAGATGAGTTTTTGAAGAATTTGTTGGACGTTTGGAACTTTAAGTAAAAAAAAGTTATTGAAGAAAGAAGGAAGGTTAGAGTTAGTAAGTGTAGAAACATCGAATGATTGGACTGTTTGTTCTGTTAAGAAAGGTTTCATCGCGAATGTATCAAAACTCATCTTTTTAAAGAGTTCTTTAGATTGTACATTGTTCAGAATAAAGTCAACTGTTGGGATTACTGATGCGAATGCTTGTTGATTTTGATGATATGCTTGTGATAAAACTTTGATCGCGTTTGATGAAACGATATCTTCTGGTTCAAATGTAGAAAGGATCTCATATAGTTCTGATGCCCATGGGGCTTTTAAATTTTTTATGATTAAATGATAAAATTCTTGCGGTAAATCTGAATTATTGATGAAACTTCTTGCAATATGAGCTTTCCATCGAACTTTAGTATAATTTTCACAATTTGTGTTAGGAGTGAATGTTTCTGGGGCACTTGAGAAAATTATGGAGCTTAAAATGTTATCCGAGATATTATGATCCAAAAAAACAGTAAAAGCAGCGGCAAGTGCTTCCTGTCCATAAAACACATGCTTAACCAGCTGTTGCTCTAAAAAGTTTTTAGGAATCATCATATCATGGATTGCTTTTTTCATAAAAAGTCTAAATACAAAATCAAAAGAAATAAAAAATCGATGAAAGTATCGGATTGGAGATTGTTTAAAAATGATTGAAAATGAACGTATATTGTTTGTGTGATTATTTAACGTAATGATTATGCTAAAACTCACTGCGTAATAAAATCTTTTGATAAAAAGAGTATAAAATTGAAATAACTTTATTATGGTTGAACTATGTATGATGTGTATATTAGGGTTTTCGAGGTTAGAAGCAAATAACGAGTGAAGAAGAAAAATCAGGAAAAAAATGCCAAAAAATTATTGACTTCTATTATGTGTTTCATTCAAGTCTGGATGCATCTTTTGCAAAAATAAGAAAAAATTGGTCCGAAATCAAGTAATTGAATTTGTCAAGATATGAAATCTTCAAAAAAATCTTTAAAATGCGTAAGATTGTTTTGTGACATACAAGATTATATTTTATTCTAAAATAAATCTAATTAACGTCATCGGTTTGGGAATCGAAGGGTACTTCGAAGAGTTAACTGTGAGATTTACTCGCTAACTGGGTTAGTCTTAGCTGGGGCACGGCGGTACCTTCTTGTGGATGGTCTGCGGAACTGTGGGTGAGCAATTCTGATGACGACTGTGGCTTCTCCGATCTTGGTTTCGCGGAGGTTCTTGATAGCGGCCATAAGGGCATCTTCTGTCTCGAACTTGACGAAAGCGAAACCACGGCGGTTGTTATTTGGTGGGTGGATGGAGACTTCCTTAGCTGTTGGGAAGATAGCGCGGATTTGCTCCTCAGTTGTGGAATCAAGAACTCCACCAAGGAAGGCTGTTAAGCGTGGTTTCTTGACTGGTGGCTTGGAGGCGACAACTTTAACTTCACGTTCATCGATGACAAGCTTAGTCTTCTCGCACTCAGCAATAGCCTTGGCAGCGTCAGCAGCGTTTTCGAACTCAACAAAGCCGAAACCACGGGAAATGATCTGGCCACGGAATCTTCTTGTGATAACACGAGCCTTAGCGACCTTGCCGAACTTCTCGAAAGCTGGGCCCATTTGTGCTGGCTGTGTCTTGTAGTTTAAGTTGCCGACGAATACAGTCTTGTTATCTGACATCGGATATGTGAAATGGTTGTGTCAAACCGTTTTACGCATCAACCTCATAAATAATAAACGGTAATTTCGATTTTAAAATCGTGATGTATACAATATCCTATTTATAATAAACATAAGAAGTGAAATTCTGCCGATGGCCGATTTTTGATCAGCGACTAAACAAAGAGGAAAATCTTTCAATTGATAATTATACCAAAATCTTTGAGGTACTTATGTTCCTTATTGTCCTTCAAGCATGCAGAAATCTGTAAACGCTGTGGTCAGATTTCTGAAGATTTTCTTTGCAAGCATTTTTTCAAAATTTATCATTATTACTCGTAGTTCCATCTCAATTATGAATATTGTATTTTTAGAATAAACTGGCAGAATTATTTTTCACATTTCCGAAATTCTCGTGCTATCTTCAGATATTTGAGAGGATACCAGAGTCGCTGGCATTTTCTTTGCATATTAAAATACATGTCTTATCAATGGGTATCAGTATCTTCTTCAAAAAAAAAAGATATCGACATATTTAGCATGAGATCTGTATTTATGTTGTTTTGTTGCTGCATTATGCTGTTGATACTGGGCTCCTATTCAAAATCTTGTGAAATCCTACATTTTTATCCGACCATTCGGAAAAGTTGTTTATTTAGTACACGACCTTTATCAATGTCATCACCATTTGAATTTATATCTAGTAGTTAGCAAAATTTGCAATAATTATCGATACGATAGATTGACTTCGTTTGGTCTATGAATTAAACTTGCCTAATTGTTACATATCGTAATACATAAGTATTCACGTATGAACATTCCTTCTACATACTGATATCATCCAAATGTATACAACAATAAATTGTATTGCTGAATTATTATACTTTGAACCTAATACATATGCATAATTTGTAACAGTAATCTCTTACAACATGTTTTTGGCTCATATTTCTGATAATTATTTCTTGACAATTTCGATCAGAGCAAAATTCGAAAATGAAATGAGATTATTTAAAAGAAATCATCTATTAATCATTATCTTGTTTATTACGGTATAACTCCAACTTTGCTAAAAAGAAAAATAAATATGAAATGCAACTCTGGTTAATAAACATAAGTGCAAAATCTATTTTGGTGAGATTGTTAAACTTAGTGTGTTTCACAACAATATTATTGAAATTTTCATGTTTATTTGGTAACAGAAATAGCTTGTCATCTTATTTTGCTTGTGGCACATTAAAATAAACTGCCTTGGAAGCGAGGTATCTAAGTTTTTCTATATGCATAGAGTAAATAAGAAAAAACATGATCAATTTGGAGAATAAAACATTTTAGAACAAATATGAAACTAGGGTTGTTAAAAATATCAAAAATTAGCGTTTTGAAGACACCATGGTGTCTTATAATTTTCCCTTCCTTATTGGCGTGTAGAAATAAATGTGCCAATAGATTGAAGAAGAAGAATTGTTTTTCTCTTAATGAACTTTAATCCTTTTGATATAAGAATATTAAAAACATTAATATAATTTCGATTTCGGAAATTAAATTTCCAAATTTTTTGTCGATTTCGGAAATAACAGGATCCCGCATCCAACACGCAACAACAAAACACAAAACACACTTTTTGGTTCTTTCATCGTTTTAATCGTAATTTATGTAATACATGATTTGGATAAATTTTACAAAAATAGAACCTATATTATATTCTTTTCAAAGATTCTAGCAAATCATCAAAAATAATTGTATTTTAAAAAACGATCAAATTATCCTTTCATTATTTTAAACTTAAATTAGTTTTTATGATTGACTAAAGCAATCATATTTATTCATCATTAAATAAACAAAAAAATAATATTTGAGAGTTATTTCAAAAAAAACACATTGAATTTATTAATTTGTCTCAATTTCAGTATTATAAATTTTTATAATTTCAATATTTTGAAATACACTTTTTAATATTTCAATATTTAGGATATTTCAATGTATTAAGTGGTCTCAAATTGAGCTTCTCAAATATAAGTTGGCCTATTCAAATAATAAAATTAAATAATATTTAAAATAATAAATAAAAGTGATTGAGGTCATAGCAAAACGGCTGTTTCAGTCATTAATTCTTAAAAATAAAAAGGGTAAAAACTATATAAAATGGGTAAAATTCAATAGTGTCTGTGCTATCGTTCAATTTGAAGGTGTCTTTTGAAACCGCAAGACACATTGAATTTTTGAATAGTGTATTATGGTTTGACAGACACCAATGAAAAAAATAAAATGATATTTATTTTAAATATATAAGATCCTTATATAAAATATAAATATTTTATCGTTTTATTTTCTTGTTTTAGAAATGTTTTTTATTGAAAAATCAATAAAACTAACTCCAAAATAAAATTTTTGATTTAAAGACACTATGATGACACCAGGCAAATCTTCCAAGACACCTATCGTCGGGAATCTAACAACCCTATATGAAACTGTTGAGTAGAAAGTAAAATCATATCATGCATATAGTTGAAACATATACATAATTTTGTTTCTAATTCCAGTCAAATGAAAATTGCATATTAAATTTTCAAACCAATAATCGACTATTTGACAGTATTACTTTTCCTGCACCATTTATGATTTAGCTATCAAAATCATGATATTAACAAAATAAGATTTTTGAAAATACTTATTGAGTAAATTACGACTGAAATAGGAGTGAAAATAAGATATTGCATGGTGTTTATTCATGGTTAAATTAATAACACTTCGAAAACAAATCTTGAAAAGGATTCTTATCATAATCGAAAGGATCTGTAAATTCATCTTCAGGGAGAGATTGAATTATATTAAACAAAACTAAACTTTCGATGCATTTCTCAGATTCAGCAAGGTATTTGTTTGCTTCTTTCTGAGTATTATTTTTAGCAATCAACCGCGCACGCTGTTTAAAGCGATTTCTGACAACATTTGCTGTCCTTTTAGGAAAATGTTGGACAATTTTTGTCCACTTTGAACCGTATTTGATGATTAAATCATCCAATAACACATCTTCTTCTTTCGTCCATGGTCCATGATCATGGTTAGGCGAAAGATAATTATTCCAGCGTTCACGGCATTGTCTTGCTGATCTTGACTTCATTTCTTGTGAAATAACTTCCCAATCTCTTGTGCCCAGTTCCTTTATCAACTGTATTTCAGTGGCAACTCAATCCTCTGAAATAGTCTGTGGTAATTTTTAGTCTCTACACTATTTCAATATAAGCTCCATTTTTAAACAGTTTTTAAAAATCGAGCATTGAAAAGTGTGATGAGACTTGCAAAATTAACAATCAAATAATTGATGGATATGTATAGACAAAAAGATGTAGAGATAGATTAGTTAATTAATGACGGATAATAAATTTCGAAATGAACGTTACGGAAAACACTATTAATGAATATATGCTTCAGAATAAGAAAACGTTTTCCTCGATCAGTATGTAAAAACGCTAGTTGAACTTTTGAAAGAATAAATCAAACTCTTCAATTTAATTTTACACTACTCGATCTTTTCATATTTAATTTACATTGTATAATCTTTAATAATATGATGATTTTAAAATTTTATAAGGTTCACAATATAAAAACGTACTCGAATTTTTCAGAAGATATTTTTGAATATATTGTTTGAAACCTATAAGAATTTAAATATATCTAATTGATTTTTAGCATCCTGATTCTTTCAAAAAATACATATTTGTTTTTCAAATGAATATTCTGTCTACTTGACGAATACCTCGTTCACAAAAAATTCAACTCCTTTTCATTTTTTGTTAAGACCTGAACAAATAATGAGCTTTCTATTTAGTATAATTGAGCTTTGTATTTAATATAAATTTACTAGAGTTGATAGTTTTTTATGGGTTAATGATTTCTAATCCTTTAAGACCTAGTAATAGATTAGTACAGCGTATAAAATCACAATATATCTATTAACTACTTCATTTATGAGTTATAAGAATCAAAATTATTGGATTGACTGTCAACTGTAAGTATCGGAAAATAATTATTATTATGTAAATCAGATTGTAATTATATTTTGGTTAATTTGTAATGAAATTTATTAATTGAGAGAATTGAGAATTTTTACTGTTGTAGATGATTTTATCATTATTTGAGCATATTTCGGTTATATCTTTAGATAAACCTGGCTTAATTTTTATTAATAAAAACTGTTTTGTATTTATTACAATCGAGCTCATTAAAGCATCATATTCTTCACTATCGATGTTTTTATGAATCAAATTCATTAACTTTATAGTTGTTTTGAAGTATTTGAATGCATTTCTCAAAATCAACGTTGTAAATTATATTGAATATTTTTAAATATTATATAACATAGCGTTTTTAGTTATATTTTCGATAGCAAAATATTGATGGCAGTACTCAATTATTCTCTTAAATTAGTTTATCTGAGAAAAAAAATTATATATTTACAACCATGCATAATAATACCAACAAATTCCGATATGTTAATGGGCGTAAAAACAACAAAAAGATCATCCGCTTAATGGAAAAAGCTATAATAGGCAATATGAAAAATTTATAAATATAAATTAATTCTAATTTGACTTTAAAAACTATTTGTCACTTTTGGATTTCTCAGAATTATTGAGTTGTAAGATACATTTTTATACTGAAAACTTAAAACATCTGCTCTATATAACAATTCACTTCTTATCACTTTGCATATTTTTCCATTTATATCGATAATCATCTGAGAAATTGAATCTTTTATTTTATTTTTTTTTTACAAAAAACTTTTTATCAAATCTTTTATTTTCCACCATTTTGTTTTCATTTGTGGACTTTAAATCATACAAAGTTGGTTATTTTACATATTATTTCTTTTTAAAGAGTCTTAATAAATAAATCATCTCTATACCTTACAACAAATATATTGATTCGTCACCTGTTATCAACACCTCGCACAAATCTTGCTTAATCGATATACACTTACTCTTCTGCTAAACTAAAACGCATTGTAAATAAAAACAAACAAATTTAATTTTTAAGAAGTGTTTTATTTATTCATTAACAATCATAGCAGAAACAATCGTCACATCATCTAATTTGCCGCCAATTTGTCCACCATAGCCATTTCTTCTTGCTTCGGCAGCAAATGGCGAATCGTATCTGGTATTGAGACCATTTTTATGAGCCATATCAGCAATTACGGAAGAAATCTCTTTTACAATCTTCTGCGGAACACTTAATTTCTTTGCTCTATTAACTTCTCTTTCTATATCAGAAGCCCAAACATTATCGTAGACACCATCTGTTGCTAATATAATAACGTCGCCAGGATGCGCCTCAAGTAATTTTCTGTCTCCATTTTCGGGTACAGTTTCTGAATGCGTACCAAGTTGATATGGAAAGTTAAAGCTGAACGTTTGGGGGGAAGTTTCGAATATCGTTCTGACACCTCTGAACAAAGAAGCTCCAGAATCTCCGAGATTTATTAAATCGATTTTAGAATCACGAATTGCAGCGATAACCGCTGTAGTAGATCCTAATAATTTCGGATCCATTAAATCGTATCCTTTTCTGAGGATTTCGAGAGATGTATTTAAATGCGAATTATCTGAACAATTCTTCATTAAATCTTTTGCATACTTTGCGGCATTTGCTCCAGGAACATTTGCCCAGCCACCAACACCATCGGCAACACCAATTGTGTTGTTCTTCTCGTTTATAAACCATGCATCTTCACCACCAAAGTGTGCTTTCTGAGGATGGGGTATATTAGCCGCAGAAGCAATAAATTTGAGTTTGGCTGAAAAAGAGCGATATATTCCACTGAGCATTTTATAAAAGAAAAGTGACGTTTATAATTTTTACTTCTCCATAGCATGGCAAAATAATAGCAATAGCTACGTACGAATTAAGCATCTTATATTGTTTAGTTTGTGCATCCAATTGTACAGGCTCGCTTAATTATTATAAACAGCTCAATAATAGTTCTGATTGTTTTGGCAATTAAAAAATTTCAGATATTATTATATGATGCGATCAAATATATTGTGATAGATATTTACATTTATACATACTAATAAGAGAATTGGAATACATTACATAATTTCATGCAATAAGTATCCACAATTTCTCGTTTCGTTACCATAAAAGTATTAAGTATATTAAATTAATTTTATACATAAGTACTTTATTAATAAAAACAAAACAATTTAAAAATATGTTAACATTTCGAAGTCGTTATTGAACAAATCGCACGAATCAACTTCGACTTCGAATGCTGAGAAAACATCGTTGATAAGAGATTGGGTAACATTATCGAGTTCAGCTACTGGAGCCTGCTCAATACTCTTTTCAGCTGGAGCTGGGGATCCAGGAGATGTTACGCCAAATTTATCATTCTTATTTCTTCTCTCCTGCTTGACGGAATTATGAGAAATACCATGGTATTTGACTAAGGCCTTATGCCAACGATTCTTGATGCTGTTACCGTTACGGCCTGGGAGGAAGCGGCTGATGAGAACCCATCTTGGTCCAAATTCCTTGTACTTGTCGACAATTATTTTGTCTTCTGCTGCTGTCCAAGATTTTGATGAAGTTGAAGAGTAAAGATATGAGTTATACCTATCACGGCACTGTGGTCCTGTGCGTCCTGGTATGTACTTTGCAACTTCACTCCAAGGACTGATCTTTTTATTCTCTACTAAGTCTTTGATCAGTGCGTCTTCTTCTGGGGTAAAGCGCCTGCTTCTCTTAGCTGCTGTTGATGGGGATTCGGCAGCATCATATGATGGACTGTATACTGGGGATTCCATCTTGTGGTTATATCTAGCTGATGACATCTAAAATAATGAAATAAATCATAAGAAAACTTCGTTTTCTCAAAATTTTTGACAGGCTATCAAAAAATCAATTTTGTGAGAGTTTCACAAAAGTTTATATCATTCGTTCCCTAAAATTTTGATATCATGTAAATAAAATTGTGGTTATCATTATATGTTAAATCAAATGAGAAAATGTAAATCTATCAAAAAATTGAAATTGATAGGTTTCGTAAATTCAGCAAGTTTTTGAGTTTTCAATTTTTAAAAATAATTTAACCGGAAATTCATATTGGAAATTGATTGCTGATTTATTTTCGTATTTTTTATTACTATCCTCCTTTATTGAATTTAATTGATTGGTAAATTTTAATATACCTATGGTATATTACATTTGTTCCGATACTATTTCTGATAATTGAATTTGACGGTTTGAATTTTAAGCTCTTTTGAAAATATCATATTTGAAAAATTTACAAAATATTTGAAAACCCATATGAACAAATATGACCAAAATCAGATTATATTCTTATCTACAAGTCGATATTATAAATATCCATTCACTCCAGATTTTTGAAAGTATTCAGAATGATTTTTCACATGATTCACTGCAAAACTGATGATAATACTTCCTATCTCATACATTACTAAAATTATCACAGAATAGACTAACATACTCCTCTTTAGGGCACAATTCATGAAAAAATAATTTTTACAGTATTCATTTAAAAAATTCACTTTTGATTTATCAACATAATTGAAGATTCGTGCTCGAGATTAGATGATGTTGCAAAAAAATTAATATCCATTTTGAAATAATTTATTAAAATAGTTCCCAAAACATAATCCAAGTTTCGGGAACACATTCATTTTAACAATACAATCTACGCCCAACAAAAAGCAATTCAATATTAAAATCGAAATATGTGTTGCTGAAATATCAATCATTACAGCAACACTCATAAATTCAATGATCAAGTTTATGGTAATTAATTAAAATTTTTATTATTTTTAAATTTTTTAACAAGTGATTTGATTAAGTCATAATCATGAGCTAACTGTAGTATAATATGATCGTTTGGGATGTGCAAACTTTTTAGGGTTTTTAATGAGCTTTAATAAATCTTCCAAAATTAATGAGAAATAAGAAAAGATAGAATGGAAAAAGATTTTGCGAATTAAGGATAGAAGGGATAGAAATAATATTTAGTATATAATATAATATAATAAACAAGTATAATAATAAAACAAAAGTTTGAAGTCAGCAAGTAAAGAGTCTTAGTTGAAGTAAGTTGTCTTGTGTGGGATCTCTGGGTTAGCGAGGAGTTTGCCACCTGCTGGGGCGCAGAAGGCGTTGCTGCCGTCTTCACTGAGATGGACACTGAGGCGGACGCGGCATGGAATGTGCTTGCTGCTTGGTGTCTTGAGTGTGTACTCCTTGCTGACAACTGTGTTTGGCTCGAATGCGCTGAGGCGGAGCTCGATCTCACCAAGCTCTTCGTCACCACCAAAGAGGTGCTTCTTGAAGAGAACACAGACAAATGAAGAACGCTCTGGGTCTGTGTACTCGAAATCGAATCTGCCTTGTGGGCGCTCCTTGAGACCGAACTCGGTGGAGTGGTTCATGAATGAATGGCGTGGACCAACGCGTGCAACAAGTTTTGCCTTGTTGCTCATGTTGTAGCTGCCTGTATCAACTGCATCGACTTTAATGAAGGCACGGTTGCCACTGATGAGGGCTGTGTATTCGCCGTTGTTGCTGTATCTGTTGTTATGGAACATCAAGATTAAAAATGATTTAACGGAATCTATCAATATCTTTTCTGAGCTCTACGGAAAATTGAGAACAAAGATTTGAGGGAAAATTAGGTCATTAACTTTCTATGGGCTCTTTGAAAAAAGACAATTTTACTGGAAAGAATACTGTTCAATATGAATATAATATATTTCTTCATGATTTTCCCAACATCGTTAAATAATCGAAATTGAGAGCTATATCCTCTTAGATTTAATTTTCCTCGGAATATCCATTTTCAAATTCAATATCATGTCACATATATAAATTATGTGTTAAAGGATGATCACATGATTTTAAAAATTTTGGCCGATCACTAATTTGAGAGCAAAAATTTATTTGATTTTTATTCAAATTCCACATCTACAATGTAAATTAGATATATATTTAATCTTGTATTTTTGCTCTCAATTTAATGACCTAATGTTCCCTCAAAATTCCCATAGGTTCTGAAAAGTCAATCACGCTCTTTGAATAGTTTATAAATTTTTTGAACAAATTCATTCTAGATGAAAGAGCAAACGAATCCATTATGAATTTACATTAATGAGATTTTCATCTTAAAAGATGTTCTGAATTTCGATTATTTAACGATGTTGGGAAAATCATGAAGAAATATATTATATTCATATTGAACAGTATTCTTTCCAGTAAAATTGTCTTTTTTCAAAGAGCCCATAGAAAGTTAATGACCTAATTTTCCCTCAAATCTTTGTTCTCAATTTTCCGTAGAGCTCAGAAAAGATATTGATAGATTCCGTTAAATCATTTTTAATCTTGATGTTCCATAACAACAGATACAGCAACAACGGCGAATACACAGCCCTCATCAGTGGCAACCGTGCCTTCATTAAAGTCGATGCAGTTGATACAGGCAGCTACAACATGAGCAACAAGGCAAAACTTGTTGCACGCGTTGGTCCACGCCATTCATTCATGAACCACTCCACCGAGTTCGGTCTCAAGGAGCGCCCACAAGGCAGATTCGATTTCGAGTACACAGACCCAGAGCGTTCTTCATTTGTCTGTGTTCTCTTCAAGAAGCACCTCTTTGGTGGTGACGAAGAGCTTGGTGAGATCGAGCTCCGCCTCAGCGCATTCGAGCCAAACACAGTTGTCAGCAAGGAGTACACACTCAAGACACCAAGCAGCAAGCACATTCCATGCCGCGTCCGCCTCAGTGTCCATCTCAGTGAAGACGGCAGCAACGCCTTCTGCGCCCCAGCAGGTGGCAAACTCCTCGCTAACCCAGAGATCCCACACAAGACAACTTACTTCAACTAAGACTCTTTACTTGCTGACTTCAAACTTTTGTTTTATTATTATACTTGTTTATTATATTATATTATATACTAAATATTATTTCTATCCCTTCTATCCTTAATTCGCAAAATCTTTTTCCATTCTATCTTTTCTTATTTCTCATTAATTTTGGAAGATGAAATCATTTGATTCATTTATGATCCTATTGCTTAAGAATCTCATATTCACCCCATAATCATTGTAAATCAAGCATGCTAATTATTAGATACTCTACTTCAATCTTTTATCATATTCTTCAATTCTTTTCAAGCAATTTTATTTGTGATGGAAGAATCTTACATGCTTTCTGAATCTATATGTGCAAGATTATGGCTGTTTTTAAATACTTGATCGTACAGCCTTTTTCAATTTCGAACAATTGCGCTCATCATTGGCTTGATTTTACAGTTACGGAAGCTTTCTTAGTTGCCATTTTTTTCATTCCAATTTAATAGATGATCATCTGACAGCACATGTGTATCATTAAAGATATTGTTTTAAACATGAAATTTTGAATTTGGATCAAAATGAAACTGTATGAATCATCCGCTATACAGATAAATTCGGCATAGACTATATAAGATAAAATTGATAAAAATGCACAGCAAAAATCAAATTAACAAAAACGTTTTAAATTATATTACGTTTTGACTCTCACAGCAATTATGTTATGAATAACTTTGAGCCATTAAAAACCTTATGGTTATTCATTCAGATGATTTCCTTTAATACTTTCATATTGAAATTTAGGAAATTTTGCTGCAAAGTTATTACGATTATCGAATGTGAATTTTTCTTGTTCTGTCGTGATCTATTTGATAATCCAATTTCCTATTCCAAAATTTTGGAATTCTTTCAAACTGTATTTGATTATTTGGCATTCGATTGAATGCGAATGTTCCACAATTCTTCAATGAATTTGAACAAGGATATAAAATTATCGTTTTCAATTCCTTCTATTCTTCAGAGAGATAGACCAACCCACTTACAAAGCATTGTTGTCGTTAATTTCTGCTTTGCAAGTGATTTGTCCAATGATTTGTTCTTGGATTTCGGATCAAACATCGAAGACGTTTTCGGACAGTACACAAGCTTCTTTATGTTCGAAAAACAACGATTCGCCTTCTACGTTTTGTTCCACGATGACAAAGATTTGAGACAACCTTCAAGAGACGCTGTTGCGTTCAGTTTATTGGCCAGGGATATCGCAAAACTCAATAAAATTGATGTAAAGATTGCGATTTCCATAGAAAGAGAAGTTACAGCCAAAGCCGAAAAAATTGACATGATATGGAGCGTAAATTTCCCCAATTCTATACTTTGGAGAACAGACGCGATGCTTAGATACGCCGACTGGGGCAAAATCGCCTGTTTTTCAAAGCTAACTTCAGGAATTCACTACTCAAAGTATATTACTTTAGGAAAGTTTAACGAACAGTCGGAAATAGTTATATTATAAATTGTATGTTTATTTGTTTTGATATTTACTTAATTATAACTCTTTTTGAATGATATTTACTCATCCCTTCTTCCCAGGTTCTTTTTTTAGATTTTGGAACATTGAAAAGATTGAGTATGATTAATATATGTCATGTTTGCGTTTATTCATAAAAATATCAATTCTATCATTGGAAAGAATAATCTTGAAGTTAAAAATTTAGTATTTTCCTCCTAAATGTATAAACTCTTGTTTTTCTTTCGTGTCAAGATTAGAAATTATTTGAGATTTTTGCTTTTTTAATTACAGATATTCCAGATATCATTTTTCGGTGTTGTGATCTATTCTTAAAATAATAATTGCGAGTTTACAATTAGTTTATCAGATAAATGAACACCTAATCTTTCCTTTCTTAATTTATGAAATTAATATTTTTATTCATAAAGCTTTCATTCATATAAACCCAAAATCATACTCTTCGTGTGATCTTTCAAAATATGATGAATTTGATCCTCATTTAGCATCGAATAAACTTTGGATTTCTGTAATATTTCCACGATAATACTTTTTTGCATTTTGGAGAGCTGTCACTCCGAAATAATCTATATCATTGATATCTGCACCATTCGAAATAAGAAATTCGAGTGTTTGTTTATAAAGTTGGCATGATAATTGATAAATTTTTTCTTTTATTTTGGATTTTTCTTCATTATTATCTATAGGGATCAAAACATTGTCACAATCGTCTTCTACCATCGATGCCCAATGAAGAGGTGATTTTCCGATTTTATCTTTTGCATTAACATCTGCACCATGAGAAATAAAGATCTCAATTGATTCTATGTCACTATAAAAGGCAGCATAATGGAGAGCTGTTTTCCCAGACTTGTCTTTTTCATTAATATTGGCACCGCGAGAAATAAGGGTTTTTACTATTTCCTTAGTTTCTCTATGTATTTCTTCGTTTTGTAAATTTTCTGTTTGTTTGGTTACAAAATTCATTACGATATGAATATATTGGAATGATCTATTATGTTTATTAACTATGTAAAATAGAGCTGTTTTTCCGAAGCTATCTTTTGCGTTGACATCAGCTCCATGTGAAATTAGTAAATTAAATATTAAATAATTTTTGGTTAAAACTGCATAATGAAGAGGGGTCATTCCATAATCCAATTCTTCTCCTTCCTCATCACGCACGATAATTTGCTCACTACTTTTGATGTTAATATCCTCACATTTTGAAATAAGAAGTTCAGTTATTTCATCCATATGATTCTTTATACAAATGTGAAGGTAATGGAGTCCACTTTCTGGATTAATATAATTAATATTTGCTCCATTTGAAATTAGAAGTTTTGCCATATCAGGAAAGAATTTATCAATGGCAATACAAAGAGGAGATTTTCCTTGATTATTTATTGCATTTAAATTTGCACCTTTTGAAATAAGAAATTCCACAGCTTCTTTATTATTATAGCTAACGGCACATAAAAGAGGAGTATATTGATAATCATCTAATGATTCAATATCAATTTTATATCCGTTTGTGGAATCCAACAAAAGCCTACATATTTCAGTGCAATTAAATAATGAAGCAAAATGGAGTGCGGTTCTTCCAAAAACATTTTGAGGAAAAATCGGATATTTTTCGAATTTATTGTTTTTGAATATATCATAAGTTTGGGGGAATGCTGCACACCATGGGAAAATTAAATTTTTATCTTTTTCGAACAACAGAAAAACTGCTTTGAGATTTTGTGATTCTAAAACTGCTTGAAAATCAAATTCGAATGCATCAATTAAATCATGATCTAAAATGTATTTAAGAAAAGTATTGTTATGAGATCCTATTGCATTATTTAAACAATAAGCATCTATTGGATGATGTTTCAAGCATTCATTGATAAGATCAGTGTTTCCTCCAATTATTGCATTGTGAAAACATTTTTGTGAAATTGTTCCGTTTAAATTCTTAAGGATACCCTTACATTGCGTAGTTAGAAAGAGAATATGATATTGTCATGATTGCTAAAGTTTTAGGCTCCAGAAATGAATATACATCAAACTGAAACAATTGATAAATTGAATGAACTTTTGAGAGGTTCTCAAATAAAAAAATTATCTAATTTTTTACAATATTACTATTATTTTATCCACATATGTATATATAGTAATTTGAGAAAACTTTTAGGAAAAAATAAGTTTAATAAAAATCTGAATTTTACTTGTTGTGGGATTGTTATTAATTGACACTCCAGACGTATTACTAATAGTTATGCGTATGCAATTAAAGTATTTCTGATGGACAAAATGTGAGATTTATATCAGATAATTCATTTCTACTATTAAGTTATTCATTTATGAGTTTGCACTTATTCGCACTAAATAAATAACTATTAAAAATTGTTTTAATTAATTGACACCATATAATAGAGTGAATTTTGTTTGATCAAACAACAATAGATGATAGATATAAAGCCAAGAAACTTGCTATTAATATGCTCTACTTGCTATTTCAATGTAAGTATGATATTTTCTAAATGTTTCGTTCAGATAACTTAGATATATTAGTCAAAATTTGAAATTTTAATAGCACATATATTAAAAATAATTATTATTCATAAAAGATTAATGAAATAGTAAAAAAAAATCAATCAAATTATAAAAATACAACATTTAGAAGAATTCTTATTATCCTTCAAAAAGTCAGTATTTCTGCTGTAATTTTCTACAACATTGTAGTTATTGCACTTTGTCTATGGATTTGTATATATGTTATATATAAATTATATATCTAAACTGCCCATAAGTGCAATTTTTATATAAATTGTTTATTTCTTTAACAATTTCATATGAAATATGCTTTTTTAAGCGTATCAAAGCTGTGTTCTTAATGTGCATGGATATATCAAGAAAAATGTCGAAAAAAAATGTGAATTCACAAATTCACTGAATTTTCACCGTTTTTTGAATTTTGCTACAGCACTAATATTAAATAATACTAAAATCTTCTGTCTTTGTAAAAGAATAAATTCTGACAAAAGTGCTCGTTTAAATTTAATGATCATCTGTATGACTAAGTGGTAAAAAGTGTTTATGACCAAAAAAGGGTTACATGCTTAGTCTATTTTTCTGACAGGATACTCTAGATTTACATGATCTCTATTTCATATCTCCGTTTTTAGATTCTTCGACAGATTTTATGATAGAAAACCAAGATTAACAAATTTCCGGCATGTTTATGAAGAAATCTGCCGCTACCCTCAATATTATTTCAATAATCAGTATCGTTTCTCTTACAATTTATTTTTTTCTCAATAATTTAACAAGAAATAACAATACACACTTGGTTTTACGTATAAAAGCTAAGTGTCGAACTTAATCAACTTTACTTACTTAGCAAATGAATATTTTTGTGGTTGCGAGTTCTGAATGCTGAAGTTTTAGATTTCTCTATAAATGATATCATTGCACTTACAATGTTGTTCCAGCCTATCGCATAAATCATAGAAAATCCAAAAAAAAAATAATATAAAGAAAATTCATGTCATGAAGTTCAAAAAATACCGTGTAACATTAAAATTTGTTATGCATAATACATTTTAGCTATTATTGATTTTTTTTTAATTTTCGAGAAATTGAATGGTGAGTCCGATAGAGAAATTTTTAAAAATCCTAGTGCCTCATAGAAGTAATTTCCCTTGTCTCCCATACTTCCAAATGTATGCATATGACATAAACTTTTATGCATTACACAAGTGGCCAATAATATCTATAGAGTAAAAAATTAGAAATTTAATTTTTTTATATGATAGTTATATTTCAGATTTGCGAGCGTAACTTTTTTCTCCATGGCATACTTGTTTTAAGAGCAAATGATCAAAATCGTCCTTCAATTATTGAAGGAGCTGATATCTTTTGAAAATTGAATTGAAAGGGTATTCAATTTTCAAATTTCCTCTCAATTTTGGAAACATATCAACTCTATGAATTAACAATTATGTGCCTTCACAGTTTATCAGTCATATAAGGTGCTTATAAAGAAAAAAGTTACGCTCGCAAAATATGTTTTTATATAGATTTCACATAAAATAATTATGTAATTTCTAAAAAGAATATTTTTGTTCTTGAATATTAAAGTGTATTGTAGTTTAAAAAGTTTTAAATATGTTGCTAAAATTTCAGGTTTATAGCTCATGTCTAGCATGACTTCTTCGTATGCGCAAAAAATCTGACACGTAAGGGTATCCTTAACAATAAAATTGAAAATATTAATCGCTCCATAATACGCGCATTTTTCAAGAGTTGTACAATTTCCAAATTGTATATCGAAACTAAGGTCATTTTCTAAAACGTAATTTCTAAATTTATCAATTTGATCATCTTTTATAAATATATCAAAATCTTCACTGCGGAAAGCACTCATGCCAAGAAAATCAGAGTATGTCCTTCCAAAACTCATCCGATCAAAAAACGAAGCAGCGAGATAATGTGCATGATCAAAAGATAACTGGCTTTCAATTTCACGATAGAGTTGTTGTGATCTGTAATTGTAGTTTATTGCGTTTGATATGCTCTTCAATAAGGTTTGTTTTGAAATTTTGTATTTGTTAATTAAACAGCTCGATATCAAGTTGACAATCTCCTCAATAAACTCATTGGATCTGATATGATATAATTTTTCATACGTTGAAATAAAATCATCATATTGCTTTAAGAAAACGCTGCTCATGAAATTATAAAGTCAATTGGTGCACGATACGGCCAAACGAAAGCTATCGTTAAAGCCCAAAATTCATAAGACCCATATCTAATTATAGATCCTAATTTTATATCATATTCATATTCTGTTTTTAAAATAATTTTTGCATTTCGTTAACCAAGGAGTTCCTAAAAAATCGATTATAAATAAAGACGATAACGATAATCCCATTGAAAATGCACCGTGGATAATCCTCAAATCTTACTTTGAAAATAAAAGTAACTATTTGTGGTAAATGAGCATTGAAAGCCAAACCATAAGCACATTTTCATGTAACTTTCCCTTCATTTCTATTTAAAATTATAATACACTCATGATAAATATGAGCCAGATGAAAAACCATTGAATGCAATTGATTTGTCTCATATGTTATGTTAAGCTGTTTTTCTCATAGTGGGGAACCATTGATATTTGTTGAATACATGAAAAACTCACCTGGAAATTTTATGAATTACATTATTTATTAAATCTCTTAATACGATATATTTCCCGCGTATTAATCAATAATAACCTTTTCAAATTTAAACCTTTTTTGTTCTCAAATTATCTTGCAAGTGTCAAACCGCTAAAATATATGCTTAGTTTCTAATATAATACATGAATTTTCATTTAAAAATTTTTTGTAAGTGATTCAATTTTGAAAGAAGTATTTCATACATATATAACCATGTGTATATCTTGAATTAAAGAAAAAATAAAATCTATTAAATTGCGTTTTGACACTTGCAAGATAATTTGAGAACAGAGGTAGGGCAACGATAGGTCAAAAAGGCTTCTCTGATAGATTTCCTTGCCTTTTGGATATGCTATAATATATAGCCTAGCATGATAGGATATGATGTCAAAAGTTAGAACATAACTTAGGATCTTGAGAAAAATAAAAAACAAAAATTACATAAAAAAAGAAAAATTTTATCTAATTTGTTTTTTTGGACCGAATAAGTAATTTTATTGAATTTCAATACGACACATAGATTTTATTATTAGTAATAAATATAATGGTTTACTATTAACAAGGAACCTAAACTAATGAAAATTTGATTTCAAATATTGTATATGATTATCATAGATTACCAAAATATATTGCTATTTATGAGGATATAATATTGATTATTAGTAAATCGTATAAATTTAATAAATATACCATGAATATTGAATGAATTTCTTGATTCATAGGGGTAAAACGCGCTTTTATATGATTTAGACAGAGAATTTATGAGATGTAAATAACACAATAAAGGTTTATATTGAATATTTTCTAAAAATAAATCGAAATTATAAAAAACAATACATTTATTCATTGAAACTACTTGGACAAATATGAAACAAGCATTCAGGCAATACTTTTGAGACTTCAACGCATCTGATAATTTTTATATAACTTCACCTCTTATGCTTAGAGTGGAGGTATTGAGATCGTATAAGTATAGATGAGCTCACATTCAGATATGATGTGTGAGCTTCTGTTTTCACTGCAATTTTGAATCAGAATAAACTCAAAACAAGAATAAAATGATATACTCACTCTCTAAATGTGTTCGAGATTTAAAGTTGTATGAATAAAACGATTCATCTTTCGAAGCCTCCCATTTAATGAGAGACTTCGAAAGATGAATGTATTCATGTAGATGAAATACTATATATGACCATGTGTGATACTAAAGATATCAAAATGTTCATTTTTAAGTGCAATAGAAGGGTTATCTCTCGTAAAATCTCAATTTAAGGAAGATTTAGAAAGAACTCCTTTCCTAAGTAGATAGTGTGTGGTTTCTGTCTTTTGGTTGATCAGGAACTATGAAATTAAGTCGGACAGAAAGAAGTTCTTTCCAAAACAGACTCCAAATGAGTTGTTCGAAAAGAACTTCCTTCTGTATATGGATAATTGTAGTTACCGCACTGAAGTATGTGATTGTGATGATGGAGTTCTCGATAAATCTAAAATCGGATTAAGATTAATTGAAAACTCAAGTAATTCTTTGAAATCTTGTGTTGTCTGGCACTATAATAACCAAAGAATGAGAATATTATGTTGAATGATGAGTACGTGTGCTCGGCATTCGCCGAGCGAATTGAGTTTAACGTACTATGAAAAGTGACAAATTTGGGCTTTTTTTCCTAGGGTTATGATCTCTTCCTTTCTGCTCAATACGACAGAAATGAAAGAATGAATTTGTACTCCCTAATTGATTACTACAATCTGTATCTATCTTTAACATAGAATTAGCTGCATTGTGATTTATACTCCAGAATTATTCAATTTAAGATCAACCTCGTAAATTTTAATCATATTGCACCAATACTCCTACGTTGAGATAAGAACATGATTATACATACCAAAGCCCCATATTAAAAATCAAAATTTAGCACCTCCATTATGCAACCACATTATTCGTCGCAAATAAGTATGTTTACGCATATTATGATGCATATTCACACAACTCGTATACATGAAAAGTTATTAAAATCAGACAAAATTATTGCAATAAGGAAAAAAAAACAACTTTATTATATATGTTAGTAATGAATTACAAATATTTCTACAAAGAATGCTCAATACTTCATATAATCTTCGAATATTTCTTATTACAAGTTAATACATTTTGACTCGAACATGATAAACAAAAGCTGACACGCTGATTACTACATTTATGAAAATATAGTACGTTTCCATTCATCTGTTTACTTGTTTTTGTTGGAATAAAATCATTTTTTTTTCTTTCATGAAATAAGAATTTTGCTGCGAAAGCAATATTTCTAACAATAATTAATACATTACGTCAACTCTGGAATGAGTATTTATCAAATATGATATCAAAATCAAAAATTAGTTGTTTTTTATGAGTAAAAACGATGTAAATTGATTATTTGACTAATTATCAAATACTTTGATTTTCCAAATTTTTTTTCGAAATTGATTTTTTCATGTGAAAATTCAAATTGTTTAATTTCATTTTTGAAATTTTGAATTTTTTTTGGAATTTTGAGTTGATCAATTCAGCAGAATTGATAATGCTATTGCTTTAGGGCATACCACAAGGTGATGAATAAAAGGTGAACATTAACAAATTATTTTAAATCACAAATATCATCCTCATCAACTTTAATTCTAAAAAGAACTGTACTGAATTATGAAAATGCATGATTTACATTATTAAAATCTTTGAATGAAAATAGTACAAGATAAGTTTTTATTCATTTTTAATTAGATTTAAACGAAAAACTACTCCATATTAAAATTTAAGTCGAGAAATCGTATTTTGTTCTTATTTGTTAGCATTTTGTAGACATTCTAATCTTGAATTAATTTGTTACATGATATTATTAACAAATTTAACTGAAAAAATATGTTAATATGGAATAAACCATGATTATATAAGCTATCAATGCTATATATACATATGTAAAAGATTCATATTAACTCAATTAACAAAAATGATAGATTTTCATAAAGGTTCAATCTAGGTTCGTCCGAAAATTTTGATTTTTATATAGAAGACATAGTTTCATATACATAATTAAATTTTCAAACAAATTTGATCATACCATTTATTAAGCAGGATAGTATATTAATTACTATCAGTATAAAAATATAAAAATGATTATATTTAATTATTGCATAATTTAGTCAAAGAGTTATAAGCCTCAAGTGATCGTTATCACCTTCAATGCACGTATACTTTATTGATTCATAGATATTTAATCTATGTTTGACATGTTGTTGTCGTCATTCGTTTTGTTCCCATTCTTCCTAAGTTAGAATTAGAGAATACACCATCCACATCATCTAATTTGGTCCTCAGCGATAGATTGGTTCATTTTGGAGGAGTCCCATCAGACAGTTTTCGAGCACCAAATATCAAATTTTAATGTATACAAATCTTTAGTGATTTATCTCTTTTATGATGAGTAAAAGGTTTCTGCTCATCAACATTTGATTTCCGACATATATGATTTCTAATTGCAATTATTTACTTTCTTTTTATAATCTAACTCTGTGACTCATACCATAAATTAATTATTGGAAAGTGTCAATATGTTTGGCACAACGCATGGCGGAAGATACCAAACCATGCAGGGAATATGATACGTTTAAGATCTCCGAACTTTTTTTCCAAAAATTTTCTATCGTTGCCCTACCTCTTTGAGAACGATATAGGTTTAAATTTGAAAAGATATACATCGTTTAGAATTTTTGATAAACGCGCTGAAAACATGATCCCCTAAAAGATTATTTTAATTTTTATTTTTTCAATGAGAGTTGTTTTGGAGTTGAATTTTTTGAGATGGGAACAAAAAATAAGGATGAAATCATTTTCGAAGATGTCTAGAATGATAACTGTATGCAACTGCAATAATGGATACGCAAATGGCTCTGGCTGCGATTGTGCCGAAGCAGCTAACTACTCAGTCATATCAAGATGCATCAGCTGGTTCGTTTGCGAATCATCCAAGAGCAGTGGATCATGCAATTGCGGAGATAACTGCAATTGTGGAAGCTCTTGTAACTGTGGTACAGAATGCAACTGCCAAAATGGGTGCAACTGTGGAGATATTTGCAATTGCAGCAGCTCATGCAACTGTGGAGACAATTGCAACTGTGGCAGTTCTTGCAACTGTGGTAATTCATACAATTCCCAAAACGGATGCAATTGTGGAGATAATTGCAATTGCGGCAACACATGCAATTGTGGCAGCTCTTGCAACTGTGGAGAAGGAAGTTACTTCACAGGCTTTTCATTCTTTTACAATTAAATATAAAGATAATAAATAAAATAATAATCTAAATAAAAATAAAAAGCCGTTTTAATCTTTTTTAAACTTGTTGCCTACTCATTAATAATGAGCAAGCTTCCTGAAGCGCTTTAGAAACTTTCATAGCAGCTTCCTTTTGCTGTGGAGTTGCCTTCACGTTTCCTCCACGCTTAGCCATTTTAGCCTTGATTGCTTGAACTCTCTTTCTTCTATCTTCTTCCTGTTCCAATCTTTCTTGTTCTAATCTCTTTGCATCGACCTTTCCTTCCTTGATTTCCTTGAGTAATCTCTCCTTCTGCTCCTTTCTCTTTGCTTCTCTCTGTGCGTCAGTCAACATTGGTGGTTCATCATTTGGATCTAATCTAACCATGTGACATTCCTTGCAAACCTTTTGTGGAGCGGCGAAATCAGAAATTGAATTTTCAGTGATCATATCTGGATCTAAACCTCTGCAAGTAACTGTTGCTGCAATGTTGTTCATCTCTTCTTCAGTCAATTCATCATTCATTACATCAGCGTTATTAATAGGTGTAGATTTAGGACGTGGTCCTGGAGCTTTGATCTGCTCAATATTATCTTCTTCTTCAGCGTCGTTCTTCTTGAATCCCTTTGGAATGTAAACAGGATGTTTGTGAGTGCTCTTCATTGACTTGGGAGTATTGTTTTCATAGTCATATTCATCATTGTATTCGCCTTCGATTCTGATCTCTCTTGAGATGTTGTTCCAAGCATTTCTTGCTTTCTCCTGGTTGGCGTTGTTCTTCTTTTGGAATGGAGATTTCTCATCTTCTTCGATGACAACAGGTTTTGGTTCTTGGAGACGTTTCTTTGGAACATGAGAAACTGGATCGTTATCAACAACTTCTGGTTTCTCTTTGTTGATATCGTCATTGAATTTGTCTTCAATTTCTGGAATTGGACGTTGTTTCTTTTCGTGTGTCGGAGGACGTGGAGAAGGATGTGAATGTCTAAGGGATTTAGGAACAACATCTCCGACATCATCGTATTCGCCATCAATGCGAACTTCACGAGTTATATTCGTCCAAGCGGACTGAGCCTTCTTTTCGTTCTCTGTAGGCTTGAAAGTATTCTTTTCTTCCTCGTGGATGATGACAGGCTGAGGAGCAGCGAGGGACTTCTTCTGTACGTAAGAAACAGATTCTTCCTCTTCAGGATTCTCTTCTTTGACCTTGTTGATGTCGTCATTAAATTCATCCTCGATCTCTGGAATAGGGCGCTGCTTCTTTTCGTGTGTCGGAGGACGTGGAGAAGGATGAGAATGCCTTAACTCCTTTGGAACAACATCACCGACATCGTCGTACTCGCCATCGATACGGACTTCACGAGTGATGTTTGTCCAAGCAGACTGAGCTTTCTTCTCATTTTGTGTAGCCTTGAAAGTATTGTTCTCATCTTCTTCGATGATGACAGGTTTAGGCTCTTGGAGATGCTTCTTTGGTACATGAGAGACTGGATCTTCGTCAACAGCTTCTGGTTTCTCCTTATTGAGATCATCATTGAACTCGTCCTCGATTTCTGGTATTGGACGCTGCTTCTTTTCATGTGTTGGAGGACGTGGAGATTGATGAGAATGTCTTAATGATTTAGGAACAACATCACCGACATCATCGTATTCTCCGTCCATTTTGATCTCTCTGGAAATATTTGTCCATGCACTCTGAGCCTTCTTTTCGTGTTCTGTTGGCTTGAATTGGTTCTTTTCTTCCTCATGGATAATAACTGGTTGAGGAGCAGCGAGTTTCTTCTTTTGTACGTAAGATACGGATTCTTCCTCTTCAGGATTTTCTTCCTTGATCTTGTTGATATCGTCATTGAATTCGTCTTCAATTTCTGGAATTGGACGTTGTTTCTTTTCGTGTGTCGGAGGACGTGGAGAAGGATGTGAATGTCTGAGAGACTTTGAAACGACATCTCCTACATCATCGTATTCGCCATCAATGCGAACTTCACGAGTTATATTCGTCCAAGCGGACTGAGCCTTCTTTTCGTTCTCTGTAGGCTTGAAAGTATTCTTTTCTTCCTCGTGGATGATGACAGGCTGAGGAGCAGCGAGGGACTTCTTCTGTACGTAAGAAACAGATTCTTCCTCTTCAGGATTCTCTTCTTTGACCTTGTTGATGTCGTCATTAAATTCATCCTCGATCTCTGGAATAGGGCGCTGCTTCTTTTCGTGTGTCGGAGGACGTGGAGAAGGATGAGAATGCCTTAACTCCTTTGGAACAACATCACCGACATCGTCGTACTCGCCATCGATACGGACTTCACGAGTGATGTTTGTCCAAGCAGACTGAGCTTTCTTCTCGTGCTCGGTAGGCTTGAAATTATTCTTTTCATGTTCCTCGATAATGACAGGTTGTGGTGTGGGCAATTTCTTCTTCTGTACATGAGAAACTGGATCCTCGTCTACGACCTCTGGCTTTTCTTTATTAATATCATCGTTGAAATCATCTTCGATTTCGGGGATTTTACGCTGCTTCTTTTCATAAGCTTGAGGTTTAGGAGATGGATGTGAGTGACGTAATTCCTTTGGAACAACATCGCCAACGTCATCATATTCTCCTTCAATTCTAACTTCGCGTGTGATGTTATTCCATGCCTTTTGAGCGTTCTTTTCGTGCTCACTAGCTTGGAATGTGTTTGTTTCCTCTTCGTCAATGATTGCACGCTTAGGTTCTGGCAATCTCTTCTTTTCAACGTGCGAAACAGGATCATTATCTACTACTTCTGGTTTTTCTTTATTAATATCATCATTAAACTGGTCTTCAAGTATAATTTCTTTCTCTTTCTTTTCTCGTGCTTGGTATTGCTGGGAATCGTGGGTAGACCTAAACTTTTTAGGTGTTTTTTCTCCATTATCCTCATATTCTCCATTCTTACTAACTTCATTTGAAATTTCTGACCAAACTTTAGCAGCATTGTTGCCTGATGGTTTGGCCTGGAATGGAGCTGGCTCATTTTCATCCATTATTGGATTTTTGGTTGGCTCATTAGTATTATCTTGCATTTATATTTATAATATTGTTAATTTTTATCTCATTTGTGACGGTTGACCACAATCCTTTGAAAATAATTCAAAGGGCAAAGATTTTACGAAATATTTTTAAGCCATATTCTAGAATTACATGTGTACAACATGAAATTTTTGATAGTCAAAATCACTTCACATCTGAAACACTAAAACGACGAAAATATCAATATTAATAGATTTATGATGGTATATATTCCTATAGTAACAATCACTTGAAAAACAGCATTTATCTCAAAGACAAAAAAATAATTAAAAAGAATTTTCATCATTTTGCCACCAAAATTGGAAGAATAGGACAAGGAACTAGTCAATATTTAATAATAAAAATGCTGTCAATAAAATACAGCTTTATTGAATTGATGTTTGAAGTTATGTTTTGAATGTTTGTTAGGCAGGGTTTATAGGTGAAAGGTTGAGCGGCAGAATATATTTGAGCAATTCGAAATGTCAAAAATTCTTTTCGCAATCTTGATTTCTTCAATACTATTCCCACATAATGTTATATTAGTAAATTTCTCAAAATTCACTTTTGTAATATTTCAATGTGAACGGTTTAATTATTCCTTTGAAAAAATTTAGATAATTTTATCAATATTGTACGGAAATAAGAAAATATGAATGTTTATAGGTAATATTTAATTGATTGTAAAATAAATTTTGACATTTTATTTATCGTTTTACGAAGACCAAGACATTAACAAATCTATATAGGCAATATGTCACTAAATCTAATTTAATGAAACAGAGGATTCAATTAATATTTTATTGTGAATGATCTTTCCGAGAAGTTTCTAACAAGTTGGTAAATTTGTTATTCAATCGGGTCCATGCAATTCTAATTGCTATTGCATGCAAATGTGTGATCTCCATGTACAAGTCACGTTATCACTTCAAAATCATCTTGACTCATACTATTGCATCACATCTTTGGTACAGCCATACAAGTTATCTGAATTACCTTTTAGTGTTAAACTCAATCAGTTTCATTTTATATAACAAATCTAAGTTCTGGGTTTTGTGAATAGAATTTTTAATACAAGCCTCTTAATTCATCTTTAAAGTCATAAAGATGTGATATGATAACTATTTATTGCAAATGAAGATTTTCTGTTTATGAAGAGATTTTGTAGAAATGTCAGGATTTAGCCTCATAGGACTCAAAAGAACTAAAATGAAAAGATTAATGTTAGGAAATTTAGTTGTAAATAATCCAGAAACAAAAAAGGAAAAGAGAAAAAACGACACCAACCGGATTTGAACAGATGCGGGCTAGCCCATGGGGACTCAAATCCCACGCCTTAAGGGTGCACACGAGAGGATCATGTAAACTTCAGAATTTAGAACCTTATTTTTAGGCATTATCTTGGCTACCTATTTAGGCTCGAAAAGCAAAAAAATATCAAAAAATACAACTTGACTCCATTATGACCCTTTCATGGAGGTAGTTTTTATCCGCTAGTATTTTCCCTTTGAATCTCTTTACAATTCGAAATCAAATTCAAAACTCAGTAGAAGAAAGGAAGAATCGAGTTACTACGGTTGTAATACGAATAAATACATATATTTAATTATTTTTATTTACATAATAATTGTTTGAAGCTCATATTCCAACAAATTTTTAAATAAAAACATTAAAATGTTGAAAATGTTCATATATTTTAATAGGGTTTTGGCACTTTATTGAGGAATTACTACATACATAGTCGAACTGAACTTGATATTTTGAAATTTAAATTATTTATCAAAATTAAAATTTAACTTGAAATTTATAATTATTTAGTCATATTTTGCATAATTCTAAGTAGATTTTGTAAAAAATCAAGAAAGAAAAATTTTAACGTGCTTTATTTTTTCTTTTTTATAATAATACATATTATTATATAATTAACATATTCATAATGTTTCACCCTTTCAAAAATATAATCCTCCTCCTCTCAAATAAACGTACATACGGGTGGCCTCTTTTTTCAAAAAATTAAAATTTGAAATTTTGGGCTCAAATATTAGAGATTTTTTCAACCTTCAACGATATATGTTGTCTATATCAGACCTCCTTTCTTTTTGATACTTAACATTGTTCCTAAATCTTAGCCGTTAAGGCTGTTCTGAAATTTTTTTTTTCGAAAAAATTCGAAAAAAATTCTTAAAATTCAAAAATCCCTTAATTCCTGAGGATTTTGGGAAAAACTTTTTACATGAACATGTGTATATTATATGAAGTATATTGATAAGGTAAAAATCAAATTTTATTGCATATTCATCGAGAAAATAAACTAACGAATCCCATCTATTGTTGTATGATCAAACAAAATTCACTCTATTATATGGTGTCAATTAATTAAAACAATTTTTAATAGTTATTTATTTAGTGCGAATAAGTGCAAACTCATAAATGAATAACTTAATAGTAGAAATGAATTATCTGATATAAATCTCACATTTTGTCCATCAGAAATACTTTAATTGCATACGCATAACTATTAGTAATACGTCTGGAGTGTCAATTAATAACAATCCCACAACAAGTAAAATTCAGATTTTTATTAAACTTATTTTTTCCTAAAAGTTTTCTCAAATTACTATATATACATATGTGGATAAAATAATAGTAATATTGTAAAAAATTAGATAATTTTTTTTATTTGAGAACCTCTCAAAAGTTCATTCAATTTATCAATTGTTTCAGTTTGATGTATATTCATTTCTGGAGCCTAAAACTTTAGCAATCATGACAATATCATATTCTCTTTCTAACTACGCAATGTAAGGGTATCCTTAATGATTTATACAATCATATGTTTGAATATTCATAGAAATAATGATTCTTACCTCAACATTCCTGCTCAAATAAACAGCCAATCATCATTCTGTATTAAATATTCTGTCTAAAATTTTTCAAGCTCAACTACAGACCGCGGAAAACATGAAGGATGTGTGACAAAGTCGTCGAAAGCACCCAATGTATTTGGTGAGCGGACTGTATTATATTTAACTTTTGCGTGTCAATCATGTTACAAATTATCCCTTTTTATTAAGGGTATATGTTATTTTATAATACATAGGATTTTGTACGATATCATTGTTGTCAAATAAACAGCTCTTTGATTTAATGATGAAATGCAAATAATTGAAATACTACACGGCTTCAAAATTTAACGTTTACACATCAAAGCAACTATTTCAAGCAATAACAAATGACTGAAATAATTTCTATAAATGCATTCTCTGATTGAACATTTGATATTGCTATTATTATTCATATTCATATTATTGAATAATAAAGGATAAAAATCACAAAGGAAAGCATAATAATAATCGCGAAAGTTATATTTAGACGCGGCTACATTACCTTCAATAATAGACATTTTTTCATCATCATTTGATGTTAAGATATCATAGAATGAATTTTTAACAGTGACTTGAGAATCGTCTTTAAGGAAAAATATTTTTCCAAGATTTCCTAATATTGAGCACCCATTCAGCACCAACTGACCCCATATGAATATAACTCCTAAATCAGAGTTTTCTTGAAAATTATTCAAAATATTGCAATTTTCGATATTATATTCATTTTGATCATCTAGACAAATAACCCTTGAATTTAAAGCATTATTGCTTTCAATCGTTGAATAATTCAGTTTTTCAAAGTTTGGAGAACTCGAATATAGTGCCTCAGGATTATTTTTACTTATATTTGTAGATGAAAATCGTATTTTTCCATTATGATGAGAAAAAACAGCGATTGATTTGCCGCATTCACATATAGAACTTTCATCCACATAATTTAAATATTCTGTTGATTCTTCTTTTAAATAACAATATGAGTGATCGCCCCAATTTGTTGCCGAACAATTATTTGTACAAAATCTATGTTGCACGATAGAACAGCCACAATTGGAAATATACGCAGCAGTTCCAACTATGGATTTGCAACTAATAATGAAACATTCTGAGTGCATGATATTTAGATTATCAACAGAATAATAAAAAATTATAGGTCCTACATAATCTCGAAACATGCATTGAAATAAAAATGCTTCATTATTTGAACTAATATTAGGAGGATTGAACTTATTTTTTGTAATGTTAGTGATTTCACTATTAAAATATAGATTCCAGACATCTTTTGGAGCACCATCCTTATGGGTTACTCCAAATATTTTCAAAGAAACCAGCTGGCAAGGTATATATTCTATTCCCCAAAATACGCAATCAATAAAAAATTTTGTCATTTTTTAAACATCATGCTTGACAATATAAGCTCTAATGGTATATAAAAGAAACCAAAATAGCCCTTTAAATATGATAAAGTTTTTTATTAATTTTTTGACTACCCAGATTTTCCTTACTTTTACCACTCCCCATGTAATTTCTGGGGAAAACGATAATTCATTTTTTTTATGGATGAATAGATCATTTTCCTAGAAAGGACCTCATATCTCTGGCTAAAAAGAGTGTCAGATCCTAAATAGGTTATTGATCTAGTGTACAAATCCAATAAAAAGCCTATTTTTTTGGCTTTTTTGGTGCTCATTTTTTCGAAGATCTACATGAATATGGGGAAACCATCGGATTTTTTTGGTTAACCCACATCTTCATGTAGTCTGGACTATCTTTCCTCGAAGGACCTCTTTACGGGTGTAAAAACTCATAAAGTTCTCAAAAGATTCATTCTCGATCTCCATGCTGAAAGAATTTACAATAAAAAAGAGATCTACGCATCAAACTACAGCCATAAATGAACTGAACCCCTAAAGCTCAGCTCTTAGTTTATCAAAAACGTCGAAATCCTTCTCATTGCAATCAAATTTTCTCAATAACTCATAAGAAAAATCAAATTTTGATTAAGCCGATGTTATAGGTATCACAAATACTACAAACTTGAGCAATATCGAAATTGCCAGCAAAAGTTTGAAATTGCATTGCTCATATTTGTTTTGTAAAATAAAAATCTGCTTATATTATTCATTAATTTTTTATATATTATTCATATACTTTAATAAAAACAATACTATTTCACCTTAAAAATGAATTTCATAAGTCAATATTATTTTTTTGAAAATGTATCAATTTTCGATTAAAACAACATGAGAATAAAATTTACGCAAAATTATTTTAAAAAATGGTTTTAAAAATTTACAATTGATTAAGAATAAGATTGCAAGAAGTTTTGAAGTTTAATTTTAAGAAAAAAAATTCGGATATTATTCATGGATCTAAGTAATCTGTTATTTGAGTATCGGCACTATGCATAAAACATATATTTATAGTTTTTTTGGATTTTTATGATTTTAAATATATTCAAATTTGGCAATCCAATAGATTTTTAAAAAATAGGTAAATAAAAATAGATTACATATGCAGCAGATTTAGAACATGAAACAAATCTTATAGTAACCCAAAAAAAATTCATGATCCAAAAAAGAAAAAAATTGGCTAAATGTGAATCAAACCTTGGCATAATGAATCATTATGTCGGATGTTTCCACTACACCGGCAGTTGGAAAAATACCCTTGGTGGTTCTATTTAATAGCTACTCCCAACGATAGGCGGTGTCCCCAGCTTTAGAGAGGTGGTAAAAGTAAGGAAAATCTGGGTAATTTTTTGTACAAAAAGGGAAATTCACTTTTATTTCTTTCATGGCTGAAGAAGCTGACGAAAATTATGAAATCAAGAAGACAAAGTCAGAACCACAGAAAGCAGAAGCAGAAGCCGAAGCTGAAACAGAAGAAATAAACGAAACTGATGAATTTGAACAAAGTATTCGTTCAGGAGCAAACGATCTCAACCAAATTGACGAAGAAACACTACGTGCCGAACTTAAAAAGCGTAATTACAATCCAAGATATATTGATAATCTCGAAAAAAGAAAACTTATTTTATTATTCCAAGAAATAAGGTTAAATTCAGTATCTAGATATAAAAAAAGTAAATATATCAATGCAGGCACAAATATATTTGATTCACAAAAAGGTGAAAAAAAAATAGAAGAAACTAAACAAGTAAATCCTTCTCAAAGCGATGACTAAGATCATCCTTTTTGGGTGTGTTTAATTTAAAAGCACATAAATATGTTACCATCAACGACTAATAATAGCATTGTTAGTAGCTTGTTTGTTATATAAAATGAAAATATTGTATTAATATATATTATTTATTATTTGCATATCAAAACAACAAATTCATATAATAATTTACGAATAAAGTCTCTTCCATAGAAATCTTTCATTGAGCACTTAATATTGTTGCTTAAATTAATATTCTTGATATTGATCGGATGTAATGCTACACAAAGATATGAATCATAATAACTAAGAGAATTATATTTAGATGCCCTCATGCAATTATCAATCATTATTTCTATAAAATTAGATGTTAAATCATCATAGAACGAATTCTTAACAGTGACGTAAGAATCCTCATGGATGTAAAATGTTTTTCCATTTCCATTATCATCTAATATTGCGCATTCATTTAGTGTCAATCGGCCATATATAGAAATAACTCCAAAATCAGATTTTGCTTGAAAATTCTTCAAAATATTACTATTTTCAATATTATATTTAACTCCCCAATTTAGTAGAATCATTCTGTAATTGGATGCATTATTACTTTCAATAGTAGAGTAATTCAGGTTCTGAAAGTTTGATGTTGCGATGAAAAAGGCAGCATTTTCAGAAGCACAATTTTTACTTATATTATTAGACGAAAATCTCATCTTTCCGCATAAAGAATAGAATAGATCTGACTTGCTTAATTTACCACATCCACATACAGAACTTTCGTCTACATAGTTTAAATATTCTGTTGATGATGTTTTCAACTGGCAAAATGAGATTTGACCACTTTTTGCAAAACATTTATGGGAACAAAATCTGTGTTGGACAATCGAACACTCACAGCTATAAATATACATTGCAGCTCCATTTCTAGAACTGCAACTATCAAAGAAACACTCAGAATGCATGATTTTTGAATTTGCTGAAGTAAAATTAACAACAGATACAGTGTATTCTCGAAATATGCATTGGAATAGGAACACTTCATTGTTTGAAAGAGAAAAATCTGGATTGATCTTATTATTAACAAAGTTAGTGTTTTCGCTCTCAAAATATAAATTCCAGACATCTTTTGGAGCATTATCCTTATGAGTGACTCTGATTATATTCACAGAAACTTATTGATAACAGATTTACTTGATTGCCCATTTTGGTAAATCAAAAATTGTCACCTTTATATAAAAGTGAACAAGTTCAATTGAACTTTTTTTGATTTTACTTTTTTTGACTAATTTTTTGTACAAAAAGGGAAATTCACTTTTATTTCTTTCATGGCTGAAGAAGCTGACGAAAATTATGAAATCAAGAAGACAAAGTCAGAACCACAGAAAGCAGAAGCAGAAGCCGAAGCTGAAACAGAAGAAATAAACGAAACTGATGAATTTGAACAAAGTATTCGTTCAGGAGCAAACGATCTTAACCAAATTGACGAAGAAACACTACGTGTAGAACTCAAAAAGCGTAAATACAATCCAAAATACATTGATACTCTCGAAAAAAGAAGACTTATTTTATTATTCCAAGAATTAATGTCGACTTCAACATCTAGATATGAATCAAGCAGACATACTGATGCAGGCACAAAGATATTTGATTCTCAAGAAGGCGAAAAAGTAGAAAAAGAAGAGAAACAAGAAAATCCTTCTCAAAACGATGACGACGATCGTCCTTACAACTCTAGATTTTTGGGTGGAACTATGTCGTTCGGAATGAATATTCAAAGAGATCCCAAATGGCAATTTCGTAATTATGTTCCAAGTCATATTTTGGATCAAATGCCAGACTCTCTTTTCCAACAATATGCCCGCACTCATCTATCAGATGAGGATGTAAATTATGTAATACGTACAGTAATTCTTCCAAACCTTCCTTCTGAGAAACAAACTGATACTCAGCAGCTAAGACAAGAAGAATCACAACAGGCTGAAGACTCTTCATCATCTAGTAGCTCTAGTTCGTCATCTTCTAGCAGTTCTTCGTCATCTTCGAATAATTCAACTACAACATCTGCAACAGAATCCCAGATCTAAACCTATTTATACTACTATTCAAAATAAAACATGTTTCTTAAAAATATTCGAATTTTTTAATATTTTTTTATGACATAATTTTATTAGTTTTCGTGGGGATAAAATAAGTCAAGATTGTATTAGCCGATTTTCTCCAAACTCACACAGATAGCCTCGAGCCAGAGTTTCAGGCCAAAATTTTGGTATTTTCTTAAAATTGTCAATTCTATCAGCGCTTAAGAGTGTTACGAAAGTCGAGATTTCACAAATATTGTTGAACTTCGGACAGAATTGAACGAAAAATACATGCCTATTCAATTGAATATCATTGAAATGTGCAATCCTCTTGATGCAGAAGTGAAACAATTTGCTGAAGCAATATTTTTGATTGCCGGTGGAAAATCAATCGTTTACCATGCTCTATTTATGAGAGAAAGGTCTTCCAATGTAGTATCTTTGCCGATTTTGTTGAGAATCTTGCATTGATTTCATTCCCTTATTGTAAAATCATGATGTAACCTCAATATAATTAAGAAATACAATTTCTTTTTAGGCGAAAAACAATAAACTATGATATGTTCGTACTTTTATCAAACAATGTTATAAAAGCGATGTAGAATAAAACATATTTTTTAAATCTGATGAAAATTATGTGTTTTTTATGAGTTCCCAATATATACGAAGTTTCTGTTATGCTTATGTCTTTCAAAATTTCATATTCTTTTTTAAAATTTCAGAAAACAAATAAAAAAAAATATTATTTTTTGCGTATAATATACTCACAAAAGAACTTTATTTATTTGTATTTGGGAAAGAAAGCTTAACACGCCTGATATACTCTGGCTTGTTCTTCACATACAATTCGGCAGCTTCATTATTAGCTGGAGAGTGTGGATTTGGAGCCACAAGTAATGAGAGGATTGATGTCATGATGGATGAAACATCGTATGCGTTGCACCAGTTAGCCTGAAGAATATCGATGCAAATGTTACCGTTCTGATAGATATTTGGATGGAATGGAATGTCGACGAACTTGACTGTTGGGCATGTATGTGGATAGTCATCTGGGAAAGAGTAAGTCATGCGGAATGTTGAGCCTTCCCATTCTGTCTGATCTGGTCCGAAGAGAACGGCATCCCAGTTGAAGATGTCGTTAGGATGTGGTGTGACAACGTAGTTCTTTTGCTTCTCTTGCTGAATTTTCTTGAAATCTCTGAGGATACGGCGCTGAGCGGCGTTCATAAATAATGATAAATTTTTGGGACGAAAATTTTTATTCAATTTGAGAATTTGGCAAAAATTAATTGGAAAATTTGATTTTGAATTGTGTTGTCGATATTATTATAATAACGTATTTTCAAAAAAGAAACCATTTGAGAGTGGGTTTGGTAAAATATTGATTTCATTAAATTCCATAACAGCATTCATCAAGGGGACGAAATTCATCGTATGAAAAATTTAGACAAAAATGCTGGAAAAAGTGAATTTGATAAAAGGGAACTCACTTCCTAGGTAAACAAAATTTTCAAAAGTGAATCATGTGATTATTAGATTCTAATGCTTGACCTCTCTTAGGTGAATTACTGAATCGAGATGATTTTCATTTTTCTTCAATATCATCAAATGGAAGCATCTAATGAATAGCCTATAAAGGGAATGGTTTAATGTATGCTATTCAAATAGACCTTTTATTAGTTGGTCATTCCTTTTTCAAGAAAAATTATTCGCTCAATTTTCCAACAAAATTTTTAAAATCAACTTCAAACGGTTATGAATTATATGTGATATACTTGAAAAAATTAAGGTGATGACTCATAAATTTGATGATATCTCAAATATATCTTAATGAAAAACTTATTTAATTTAAGTCATATTTATTGTTCTAGAATATAAGTATTAAAAACAAAAGTTTATATCTCTATTTTATTGGAGTAATGAAGAAGCTCTATGAGATCCAATAGGATTATCGAGTTTAGAAGTCTCTAAATTGAGAATTTCATAACCAATATTGGATTTTGATGATTGTATTATATCTGAAATCTGTTCATTTGTGATTCCGACGCTTGTAAGTTGTAATTCTGGCATAGAAAGGAGTCTTACAACGCATCCAGCAAGTCCATTCTTAGAATTAGCAATTATATCAGTATTGGAAAGCATTTGGAGCAAAATATCGATAAATTCAGGGAGATCATTAACATCACTTGGAGGGAAATGCTGAAATGTCTGATTCATGATGCTAATATAGTTTCCATTACCTGATAAAACAATGTCCCAGATAAGATGGACGATTGTCGTCAGTGCATCTGGATTATTTTCTTCATCAGTGGAACATCTATGAATCCAAGCCTGAATAACGTTTATTTTATCATTAAAGAAGTCATTAGTTATGACACCTTTCATCAAAAGTGAATCTAAGAAGAAAGTTTCATTTTGAATCATATCTATGTCCAAATCGTCATTAAATAGCTGTCCAGCGATATTTACGAACTGTTCATATAACCCTGCGACGTTTATTTCGCTGTTAAGAGCAGCTGCGACCACTCCTATGGCAGCATCTACAATTTCCATGTCTTCAATGGTTAAAAGAGCGACAATGAACTCTAATATTGGTGTTTGTTCATCACAGACAGAATAAAACAGTTCTCCTATCAATTGGCAAATAGTTGTGATCATATCTGTGTCTAAATCATCTAAAGGATGCTTACCGCCTTGGAATTCCCAGTTTCCATTGATATACTCGTTGATAAACTGGCAACATATTTGTGTAGCATTCAAAATTTCGGAGTTGGTAATTTTTTGTAAACTATTCAATTTTTGTAATTTTCCAAAATTTTGGAAAGTTTTCATCAAACCTATCAATCCTTCGGTGATTAAGTCTTCATTAGCTGTGCACTTGATAGCTGTGCATGCTTTACTGATGAAACTCAAGAATTCTTCACCAGATATGAATGTTGAGCACAATGGAAGCAAATTGAAGAAGATATTGATGAGTTTAGCATCACTATTCATTGAATGTGCTAATAATATCGAGCAATCATTGATCAATTCTTCGGAATTTGTTGCATTTGCCAATTCACACAAAGTTTGTGCAGCTTGTGTGCGAATAAATAATGGAGTTTCTTCTTCGGATGCTGCTTGAACAATTAATGGAATAATTGGTTCAATATATTGAATGGCATTGGATTTGAGAATTTTACAAAGTACGGCCACACAATTATAACCGATTTTATTCAATTCTTCGTCATCTTTATTAACAACAGCATTGAGTGTTGCTTCTGCCAATGGCTGTAATAACTGTTCGTGCGTATATTCGTCGAATGAAACTAATATCATCGCAATGGAAATCGCACCGATAATTATCGAGCTATCGTCATTTGTAAACCAGGACGATAGAGTTGGAAGAAGATCGTTGTAAAGCTCTGGATCTACTCTCTTTTCGGACTCGATTGATTTGCCAAGCAATCTCATGTATTGCCCTAATATGTTGGGAGGAACTAAGGAGTTGATTTCCCAAAGTTTTTGGAATATTCCGTAAATTGGTCGATAAACATTATCTAAAGCGTTGAAAACAGCATTAACTGCCGATGTCTGCAATGTTTTGTCTTCGTTGCAGATCAAAGGAATCGTTATATCTAAGAATAAATTATTTTGAACTAAAATCGTTTCAAAAGATGAATTAAAGTTGTTAATCATGTCGCATACGCATGTGAGTAATAGTGTATTGCCTGTTTCGTTGCTTTGCTTGAAGATCTCGATGTAATATGAAAAATCTGATTTAAATTTCGAAACCAACTTGTCAAATACAGAGTTCAATATGCAAAATGCAACGATAAAGACTCCAAATTGAGATGGATCAGTGATATCAGCGCTCTCCATCTTTCCTTTCAAGAAATTATAGTAATCATCTGCTGGATAATAGTCAGAAGCGATTGAAAATGGATCCAATATATCTGTTGGAAGTGCTTCTTCATCGTTCAACTGTTTGACCGCAATAACAAACAGTAAATCAAGAATTTGAGCGATAATTTCTAAATCTAAGTTTGGTAAATAAGACATAATGGCTGATATAGGTGCTGACATGGCCTGTGATGATCCTTCAAACGAAGAAGCCGCTTGATAAGCGATGTTTACGATCTCAACCTGTTGATCATGTTCAATTAGCAATAATTCAGCGATATTTTTGAACTCGTTCCATAACTTCATGAAATCATCCTCGTTTAATGATGTTGATTGTGCTAAAAATTGAATAATAATTCCAATTTGTTCAGAAATAAGTGATGGATCTTCAAGAGTACCAACAAGGAAGCCTACAACTGACATTGCTTGTATTCTTGTTTCCCATGTTGAATAATTCAGACCAGAAAGTGTAATTGGGAGAATAGTATCTTGATTAAAAAGAATGAAGTCGAACTGCTTAGCAAAAATCATTTCGGCAATAAATGTGATGAAAATAGGGACATTTTCTTGAAGACTTAAAATCATTTCGTTCAATTCTTCCCATTGGCCAGAAGAAAACTTAGAAATTGTAACTAATATATTGATCAAACTTGCTGCATTAGTACTATTTGAGATAATTTTTGGAAATGAAGATAATAATGATGACTTTGCAAATTGTTTAATATCATCATCGATTTCTATCCATTTTTTAGATACAATATCGCGTATTTGAGTAAGAATATGAAATGGCTGATATTGTTTTGTGAGCAAAATACAAAAAGCGGCGAGGGCAGATGAAAAATTTTGTTTAATTTCATTTAATCTTAGGACACTTTCGCTGCTATTTGCTGGATTGTGTATTAATGCATCAATTGTTTGTTGAATTTCTGCTGCTAAGTGTTCAAAATTATCCATGATTTTAAGTGTATTTTATTTTGAGAGAACTCATAGAAAATTAATTACGATTAAATCTAAAACAAACTCTATCGTTTTGGTCTGCCACAAAGATGCGTGGAAAGTGGCTTAAGAAGCGTATGCGGAGACTGAAAAGGAAGAGGAGGATGATGAGGTCCAAGTAAGGAGCTCATCATGAGCCCAGGGGGTAGGGGTAAAGAGATCCCCTCCCCCTGATTCTTCCTGAAATTTATACGAATAAAGATAAAATCTTTAAACTTTCTCTTATTTTTACTTCTTTTTTACTTTACTACTAGTTATAACTTCCTGTAAGGGAGGTGTAGCAGGTTCCTGGCTTCAGGTTTCACATATTTCTCTTTGGATTGTTATATCCTTTTGAATATCCTCTCGATTTTACTAATTGGCAAGAAATTCCGTCATCCTTAGTTCCTTTCAGTAATGGCTGTCGAATTCTAGCTCTCAATTCTCTTTACTCATCGAGCCAAAATATTGGTCAAGGATTATTTACTTAAATACCAGTATTTTGTCACTCTGATTCGAATTACATGTCTTAGGAATTCACGAATCTACTATTGTATATATAGCCAAGCTAAAGAAAAATTATCATTTTTTTCCGATATCAGTTACTTACGAACTGAACTTGGCAGCAAATACTTCTTCAGGAATATTTATGTGTTTATGCAGCATAGATTTTTCCTACGATTAACTAAAGTACTCACAAAATCTAGATTGAGAGGCGGTCAATGACTTTTGAGGGGAAATTAACGCATGGAATTTAATATTATTTAGGTTGATATTCTTGCTTATTATCTCAGAAAAAAATCTTAAAAATTTGAATATGAAAATTGAAAGCAATTCAAAAAAATTGCTAACATGTAAATTTGAATATCCTATGCATAATTTCATATTTTGAAGATTTTTTATTTTTGTTTAAAACTTAAAATTTTGCGAATTTAATATAATTTATAAAATATAATACGTATATATATTTAAAATACACTAAATTTAATTGTTAATTGACGTTTTTGGGAATGAATTTTATCAAAACATGCCTGAATCCGAAAATTTGAAAGAACGAATTACACAATCATATATGTAGAATTCAAAATACAAACTTAAAGATTGTATACGTTTAAAATTATTCAGATTGTGTTTGATTTCCACTCATTCTGTTTCTTTTGAACTCTAACACTAACATTTCATGATGATTACATGATCCATTTATACATGGTTGAATTGTTCCAGATTTTACCAGAAAATCAATCCAAATTTCTCAATGCATTCATGTTGATTGGACAAAATTTAAAATTTATCAGCCTGTTTCCAGAGAAACTCATATATTCCCTAATGAAATGTAATTTTTGCTACATTTATTTCAATCAAATTTCAAAAAATTGACTGCAGAGCTTGAAAAGGTGATGAATCATGTTGTTATTAGATGTACATATTAGATTTACTATTTCCAAAAAAATGCTCAAATTTGAATAGTTTTAGAAAATTTGGAATTACACTCCTTACATTCTATATAATTAAATGTTTAAATTTTATTTATTTTTCCCTTTTAATTTTATAACGTGCTCTCTCAAAACTAACCTCTCAATTGAAGGCCACAAAATCTAAGTAGTGAGGGTACACAAATTTTGTATGGAGTACGTTTCAATTTTTGAGAGCCTCACTACTTAGATTTTGTGACTACCTTATAAATCTCAAAATTCTGTATTTTCATTTCAGTATTAAGCTTCCTAAAAGCTTATTAAAGCACATCTTCAATTATTTTACTTTGTACCAGTGAATATACCGATCAATATTATATCAGTATCAAAATATAATCTTTTATATATTTTAATGAGCTACTTGATTGAATCGAATATGAATCGAATTTTTTAGTTTATTTGCAGCTGAATTATTGAAAGAATAAGAGAGAATGCTAAAACATATGATATCCAAATAATGATCAACCAGATATTGCAAAATTGTCAGACGAATTTGGTTTTCAAACTCTTATATTATGACATCAAGTGTAATATCTCTAAAAAGAAAGATCCAGAGTTATCTGATCCAAAAACAGAGGAATAATTTCATCCTTATAAGATTTTATATATCACCATTCATAATCTTACAAAACAGCAGGATGATGCAATGGTTATATAGGAATAAGGCCATAAATAAAATTAGAATGATAACATTTTACTGTTAATCAAGCAAACTTCCCCGTATACCATCTAGAGACAATGTCCATACCAATCATGGCCGTTAGGTTCAAATCAAAGAAAGGAAAATCAGAAATTAATCTGTCAACCAAAAAGATTTAACTTTTGGGTAGAATTAATATGCATACAGTCAATAATTAATTGCGCGATTGAAAAATATCCAAATCGATTCCAGAGCGGAATTTGCAAAATTGACAAGCGGTTAGAACGGTTTGGTCTCCCTTTTCGATATGGCCAAGCGTTCCAACACATCCGCCCACAACAGATCCCACCAGCACCACCGCAATGGTATCCATAAGTGCGTTGTCAAGAAACTCTGGTTCGAGAAGGGCATGAACGCTAAGTTCCTCCGCAATGCCCGCTATGCCAAGGCTGGACAGAACAAGTCCGAAGAGGAAGATGAATAAACAATAAACGAAAATATCTGAAGTCTACTTAATTATTTTACTGATTTTTAAAAAAATTTATAAAACTCATCGCCAATCTAAATTTTGGCAAAAAAAAATAAGATAAAAATATTACAGCAACTCATTCCACAATTTTTAAAATAGGAGTTACTGTATTAAATTATTTGATCTATGTATCGAATCCAAATTTATTTTGAAGATTTTTTTTATTTTGTCTCCAATCTGTAGAATTTTTCTAAAATTTGTAGAATTGGAAGCAAAGGAATTTTCTAGCTGTTTATAAAAAGTATTTGTTAAAAGATATAATAAGATCCAAACGGTTTACTGGGCCTTGAGAGCGAACTTGCGCTCGAAGAGGCACTTGTGGCGGCGTGATTCCTGAGCTGTAAGCTTGTTAGCATACTTTGGAGCAAGCTTGTTGCGGAGTGACTTCTCCTGATGCTTGCGGAGATCGATTGGAACTAACTTAGCCTTAGCGTACTTCTCTTGGAGAGCCTTGCGCTGTGAAACCATAAGGATTGACTTTACGCGAGCAACATCGCGGCGGGTGTTCTTGATCTCGGTAAGCTTTGTAGCAGCAGCGGAAGCAGCCTTCTGTCCCTTAAGCTCGAAAAGCTTCTTCTCGAGACCAGCAAGCTCGTCGAGGAGTTCTTGGCGAGTCTTTTTGATGAGTTCCTTTCCCTTGAGATGACCCATGATAAAGGACGGCCAAACCGCTAATAACGATTATTTTTTAGCTCTTTCACGCACTTTCCAAAATAAGTATTATATTTAGATTTGTATTGGTTTCGGTATTGCAAATACTGAACATCATTGCTATTTTGATTTGTTACAAATTGGAAGATTTCTTCTCCCATAATAATTGCATAGTATTAGTATGGTCAAATTCTTCACTCTATCCACCCTGATACATTGTGAAGTCTTGTATTGTTTTCTCATTCAATAATCAAATATAGAACAATCAATTTCTTTGAATTTTCATAACTGAAATGGCTCTTGTCCCCATCTTGTGAATACAAGATACATCATGAGCATCTTGACTCTTTGATCGAGTTTTGGAGCATAATCTAATTTGTTGATGAGCCTCTTATTGATCAACATGGATTTTAAAGAGCAATGGTTATTTAACGATAGAAATATACATAAACATTTAATATCATAATGAAAAACAACATAATATTCCTTATTTTGCTTCATCTTGAATTGTAATCAATGGTGTTGGATCAAGTTTAGGAGTATATGTTAAAATAGCAACAACGTATACGATTATGCCAATTAACAATAGTCCATTGCAAGACCATACAGCAATTTCTCTTTTTCCGGTTTTATATCTAGAAGGTTCTGGTATAAGTCCACTTTCAGAAAGTTCTTTCAGCATATAACCAAGACGATATCCTGCCATAGCTATTCTTCTCTTTCCAGCTTGGCGAGCGTTATAAAGGTAATCTTGGCTAGGTTCCGAATATGAAGGAAGAGCGTATCCTAATGTTGATGCAATAGCGTAAGATTCGAGTGACCAAGCTCTTGGATCAACCGATGTCATATTTTCAAAAGATGACATTGGAAATTCCTCTTCAATAAGTGAAGAGTTCTTAGCAAGGTCGGAAGCGTAAATGGGATTGGTAATATCTGCAATAGGGAATGCCAAAGCACAAGAATCCCATAGAAAATGAATATTCTTGCAAGCGTCACCCCAAGTGCAGTTTAATCGATATAAATTGCCACCCATATCACCATTCTGATGATATACTGTAAATCTTGCTATATTGTGGTGTGGTGTATGAATGTCACCGACGTAATGAATCAAATTGCGGATGTGGAAAGCCCAAGCCCATAAATCTGTTGTAGTTGGATCATGTAAGGTTTCCCATGCATCGTTTATATAAGTTGTTACGTTATATGTTGGTGGTGGTTTAATAAAATTGAAATCTTCGTAAGGCACATATGGTTTATCTGCGTAATGCCATTCTGCCATTGATTTAAGATTGTATTCAATGAGGTCATCTGGCCATGATGAGATTTTCTCAATGTCAGTTGTTTCAAAGCCACTGCTTGAAAGAATTCGATTTATATTTGAGATTTGCTTGTGTGTGAGTTGGTTTTGAGAGATATGTGCGATGATAGTGTGTGAGTGTCCCCACCATGACTGTGTGAGACCTTGGAATAGGAAAAACATTTGATTTTAAAATGGTCAAAAATCTCTCTCAAATAAGACGTTATTTATCTCAAATTTTTGCGCAAAATTTGATCTCCATAAAAGCCATTTCATTTTTCTTAAATAGTAGTGGTTCGTCAGTTGTTTATTAATTGAGAATAAAATGAGTAAATTTTTTTTGAATGCGTGGCGCCATTGGCGCTAAATCGCGCGCCAAAATTTACATTCGTAAAAAATAATACCATTTGTTTCCTATATAATATAAAAATGCTATTTCTTATGTTTATTTGGCTTACTAAAAATAAGATTTTGGAATGATGAGGTTAAAGAATCTGCAAGTTTGCAAAAATGTAATAAGATTTATGGGTGAGATTAAGTATTAAGACATAATTATTATCGTAATCATTTGAGATCGTTCTTAAAATAACGATAAACTATATTCTAACATATATTATTAGTTTATTTAATGAATAAAACTTCTGTTTTCAAATCAAATAAGTCACAGATAACAGTTTCTGGTTTCAATTCAATTGAACCATTGTATTTATTGCATTTCTTAATGAAAACTCTTTTGTTATCTGTCTTTATATTAAGATACTTTCCTAATCTCTTGAGAACTGATTTACATTGTTCGCTCAATTTAATTGTGAACAAGAAAGGAACTTTTTCCAGATAAACAGTGATATCTACTTCATCACAAGCTATTTGTAATACATAATCGCCAACAGATATTGTTAAGTTTGTTGGAAGATCCAATAAGCATGTCTCTCCTTTGATCACGCTCAGAAAGTGATTTTTGTTTTCCATGCATAGTTTAATGTATCTATTTTTGTCAACCCATTGTCTTTCAATAGCCAAATTGATAATATCAATAGCTGTCAAAGATTCTGAAACAAGAAATGATCTATAATACAGTTTCACAATATTCTTTTCGATGACTCTTAAATTGATTCTAATTGAACCATTGCAACTGTCAATAAGAGAGTTTTTAAACATCATTGCATAAATATGACCACCATACTTTATACCCTGCAAATACTTCATTGCTTTCACACTATCTCCAGCTCTTACAGGCTTTTTCTCGTCATTTACAAACAGAAGCATTGTATCTGTTTGAGGATTAAAATCTGAAATTGAAGATTGATTTTGTGAATCAATTACAAGCCTATATATCATTTCCTTCAACTCCCTCATGAGTATTTTCTTTGGGACTAATAATGTCTCATGTTTGTTTGCAGTGTGAACTCTAATTGACTCAACACAATATCTCATTTCCATAAATTTAGAAAATGAAAAAGGAAATCTTCCTTTTAATGTAGAATAGAAACTAAATCTCTTCTTATCGATTTGTGAGAAGTTATTTTCTCTTTCAATTTCATCAACACTTGGAATAAACTGTTCAATCTGCAAAACAACAATTGTTCCTGATTGATAAGCGTTTGTTCTAAATGATTCTAATGGATTATAAATATAATCTGCCCGATCTTTTGCAGAAGCAATCCAAACGTGAATATTATTATCAAATCTAAACTTTTCACGAACTTTTACAAATAAAGGTGCGATTTCATCATCAAATTTTTTAGTATCAATCCATAAGAATCTTAATGGATCTTTAAGATTTGGAACGTAGAGAACTACAGGAACAATTAGATCTTCTTTTTCTGTTGTTGCAAATAAATGTGAGAATCTTGTTAATCCATAAACAGTTTGTTTATCAGGAAATATCTCGATAGATAGTGTATGATCTAGATTAACTCCAAATAATCTTAATTCTTCTTTTTTGCATCCTATTTTTGTTGTAACCTCGTTGAAAACATCAATTGTTGATGAAGATTTTTTGACAAAAATGGAAAACATTGGTTTATTATATGATAAATAGCCAGCTGAACAAGACATTGAGATACTCTCTGATGTTGAAACCTTTAATTCATAGCATTCTTTGTTTGTATCCTTTTGTTGAATAAGCTTTATTTTATTCTTGACTCTTTCTGGAATGAGATTTTCTGACACCTCAAAAAATATTTCATTTTTTGAACCATTTTTCACATAGAACAGCAAATAAGCAGAATAATTCTTGCCATCTCCTCCAAAATTATCATCTATTACATCTGATAGAGATGCAATTGTAACTGATGTATCATTAAATTTGAACCATTTGTCGGATTCATCCTTAATAAAACAATAATAATGTCCATTATTTGCACTTCCGCTATGAACAATAACTGAATATAAATCATAGATATCTCCATCTTTGGAATACTTTCTCATATCAATTTTGTCAGAAAAACTAAACCTTTTGTTGATTTTGAGAACTTTTTTTTTCATTTCCTTTGGATTCATCAAATTCAAATCTTTTTAAATGGAAACATAATACCTTTGGAAGTTCTTCAAACTCAATACCAATATGTGCATCTTGCTTTCCATATTCACCAGCGAAATATTGATTTGCTCCTGTTAAAAATTCACTTTTTAACATCATTTCAAGGCATTCTTCAATATTGTTTGATTTGTCAATGTCCAAACTGATATTCATCAAATCTGTATCGAACTCTGATGAATGTGGGACATTTGTACATCTAATGTAATGTTTTTGGACACCTTGGAATAGTGATTTGAAAACTTTTTGTAACTCTTCAGGCAAAAATTGAAATAATGATAAGAAAAATTCATGAGCATCCTGTTGCGTAAGAGTATCTTTATAGGACCATCCAAATGCAGTTGTTAGTTCTTTTGTTTGTGCTGGTTTTCCATCAAAAAGTTGTAATGATGCAAAAAGATTTTGAAATGAAATTAAAATATTGTTTTGTGAATTAGATGAATAAACTATTTTTCGAAAGAGTGGTATGTGGTACAAAACTTGAATAATTGTATTTAAATAGCATGTTGCTCCTTGATTAACAATTCCATTTTCTTGATATTTATTGATTTTGTTATTAGGAATTTGAGTAAGTATCAATTGATTCTGAGAAACATCAAAATTCTCATCATCTGATTCATTTTGTGATTTTTCAGTTAAAATTTCTGTTCGAATTGGAATTTTTGGAAAAATATGCCTTTCGTTGTCCATTTTGATTTTATTCTTTGGCTTAATAGGACTGGAATTGGATGACAATTCATTTGATGAGCCAATTACCTTTATACAAATTTTGACAATATTATTTTCTTCAAAACCTGATTTCAGATCAAAATCTAACTGGACTGAATAGTTTTCAACAATTGTAGTTAATGGGCTCTTTGAAACTCTTTTAATTACATTGGCATTTGGAAATTTATTAAGAAAAACAATTTCATAAGTAATTGAAGGAAAATTCTGAATAATGGGTGCCTTTGTCTGAAACTTAAGCATATTTTGATCTTTCTGGATTGTAAACTCAAACTTTTCGGATTCTGAACAATCAATCTCGTGATTCCAATATGTTCCTATATCATTCCATCCCTTAAGTTCAATAACACTTGATTCCAATGTGAAAAGTTGTTTGCTCATGATATTTATAAATTGAGAAAAAGTGAACCTATAAAAGAGGAAATTCACTTTTTCATGTTCACTTTTCTTCATAATGGTATTGAAATCTATGAAATATGACTGTCAACGTTGATATATATTTGACTCTTAGTGATTTCTGATTTTTACCGGTAAAATTGAAAAAAATATTATCAAAAATGAAATATCATTATTATGGTAACTGGCCATACACAAGCACATTAAAAATGGAAAGAAATAACCCTCATTATTGCAAAAAGCCAGTATTTTACTTCATTGAAAATTATTATGACTTTTGCGAATTACTCATTGAAAATTCAATTTACGACGCAAATAACTAATACACCAATGATAAAATGTCTTGATCACCCCGACATCTATGATATCATATAGGGATAGGATATAATTTCGGCTTTTGGCCATTAATTACGAAAGGAAAGAAATGATTTGAAAATGATTATGGGCATTTTAGAGGCAATTCTGGAAATTTACGTATCAATAAAGAGGTTAATAATACTAAAGCAATATGGTGCATTTTGGTAATTGTTGGTGACAAAATCTTGTCACAAATACAATTGAATTTCTGATATGAAAGAAATCTGCTGTATTCTTATAGTAGAATGCAAAAGTAAAAAATTAATATGATTTCCGATAATTGTAATAAATTAATTGAATTTATTTTCTAATAAATTTGATAAAATTAAAGCACGTTTGAATCATTTTATTAATTGTATAATTTAAAGTGCTATCAGTATGAAGTAGAATTACATGATATGTGATGTGATCAGGTACTCACAAAAAAATTTGAGATAATATTTTCCAATCAGGAAATCTCTGATAATAGACTAAGTTATTATGAAACATGGAGTATTTAACATAGAAATTTGAAAGGGAAAAATTAAATATACGATCAAATTTTATTATTAATAATTGCTGTAAAACAGTTATATTAACTGCAACATTCGTAGTTTATCAATTGAATTATCTATGAAATTTGAGCATTCAAATTGAAAACTTTCATAATTTGATCGAAGCTAATGGTTAATATGTGCACACGATGATATTTCAGTTTTATTAAAAATGTAATTATCAAAATAAAAGCATCGATATAGATCCGAAAATGTAGCATTTCCTATTCATCAAATTGAAATTATTTATTTATACAATGGAGAAAACACAGACCAAAAAAAACTCATTGAAAAAAAATTGAATGCCTTGGTGGACTATTTCATTGGCTTTTGAAGCAAAATTTTTAATTTAACATTGACTCCTAAATTGCAATCGAGTGGATTTATCAAAATTAAGGCGTGATCGCTTCGAAAATTTTGAGCGTAATTTTAGTAAATGTATTGAAATGAAGATATTTAGTACATACGAGAAAAAATATGTGAGGCAAATTTGCATAAGAGAGTTCACCGCCATTCTCAATTTTGAGAAGTATCTTAAAATAAATTATCTCAACATAAATTTCATTTAATTTAAATGTCTCTCAGAGCCGGCGCCCTCAACCAAGCAAAGCCATCATCAGGCCAATTAACAATCCCAATAGCATCAGCTAGGGCTAAACGTCAGTCCATTAAGTTCTTCGACTCTGCTGACTGGGCAATGAACAACTATGCCGCCCAAGATCAGCATCTTCCACATATGGAAATGCAGAAAAGCCACAAGGCTGAGTACAACTCTCCACTAGCTGCTTATTAAGCTGTTTCTTATTCTTTAGTAATCTATCTTCATACAGAAACTGTTTGATTATTCTATCCTGTTTTAATAAACATACTATATATATTATTAATTTAATCTATTTTTACTATCAATGTCCCTTCATTATGCAAGGTTTATGTTCCAGTAGATATCAGAACGGCGAGGTATGACGAATTAGTGTAATCAAAGTGAATCTATCTACTAGGTGAATCTTGCTATAAGTTTTTGTCCCATATTCTACGAGAAATAAAAATACCAAATATTGATTGGCTGCAAGATTAATCTTTTTCATTTATTTTGATTATCACATGATTATTAGATTATTTATTTACTTAGTCAAAGAAATTACTCAAATCTGCGTAAATTGAACTGGATTATTGGTATTTTTTGATAAAATGATAATTGCTTTTTGTATCACATTGTATTCTTTCCTACCATCCGTAAATAGTTAAAAACGTATTTTTTATTAATTTTTTCTGAGCAAATACGCATCGTTTTTTCAAGGAACAATGTATTCAATTCTTGACCAACCTCAGCGAAATTACTCCTCTAATTATTATTTATCATTATTGATAAAATGGCTTTTCGGAAATACTCCTCTCAAAGTGAAGCCATCGAAAAATGTTCGTGTCGACCATCTTGCCAAATTTAAACATTTTATTTGTATAAAATGGTGCTACCAGACTGCACATTTACTGATTTAACACTATTTTGTTCGCTCTCTATGGTTTAATTTTTTATTGATCAAAATTTTGACTTGGTCACACAAATTAAATCAAATGAATATTAAATTTAGAATGTTTTTGTGTTTTGTAGCACGGTTCCAAGCTTAAAAATGAAAAATTCCATTAAATTTAATCAAACATAAAATAAACACATTTTATTCATCAAAATCACTATCATCACCATCATCCTTTATCGATATATCCTGGTTTTCTTCCTTCTTCGCGGGCGATGGGCGTAAAGGAGGTAAAGGATCTGACCTTTTTCCGTAAACTCTTGCTTCCAAATCTCCGAAATTAAGTCCGTAGCGTTCGGCGAGCGATGTAAGTTGAGTACGATCAACAGACGATGAAGTTTTCTGAATATGTTTAAGTTGATCTTGTAATAATACTCTCTCATGCTCGATTGCGATTTTCTGCTTAGCTCCTTGAGCTCTAAGCTTGTCTTTCATTTCCTGTTGCATTTCTATACGTTTCATCTTCATTTCGATCTCTTCTTTCATTCTTTCTTTTTGCATTAACTTCATTCTTTCCATTCTCATCACTGCAGCTTGTTTTTGCTCCATTTTGATCCTGGCGTCGACTGACTGAGCATGTAGTTCTTCTTGGCGACGTTGGTTGAGGGCTTCTATGCGTTGGTCGTTCATTTGTAGCTCCATCTCCTTGCGCTGGGCTTTTTCTTGTTGCATCTGGTTGATTTGTTCGAGTTTTTCTTTGACTTTCTTGAAGGTTTCACTCATACCGTTAGCTGCTTCCATTTGGCGACGTCTTTTCTCTTCTTCTCGCTCTTGATATCTCATTGTCGCCATTTCATTGCGTTGTTCAAGCTGCTGGGCCTTTTCTCTGTATTCATCTTCTATTCTTTTGCGTTGCTCTGCAACCATTTCAGCTCTCTTTCTGTCTGCGAGCATTTTTTCTTTCAACATTTTCATTCTGTTCTCTTCTGACATTCTAATGTTCTCAAATACTCTGTCCTGTCTTGCTTGAGCACTTTTAGCTCTCCTTTGGGCAGCTTCGTATTGTTCACGTCGTATTTTTTCGAGTTGCATCTGTTGTTGTAGCTGATATTGAGCTCTGAGGTCTGCAATCCTCTTGCGCTCTTCCTCTTCCGCTTTTTGGCGTGCTGACTCCCTAGCTTCAGCGAGAAGTAGCTGATCTTCAAGATCTTTAGCTCTTTTCGCTTCAAGTTCCTCTAACCGCTTTTTCGCCTCAAAATTTCTTTGATTTCTCAATTTGAGAGCTTCCTCTGCTTCTTTTCTTTTTCTTTCTGCTTCCTCTTTTTGACGTTCTGCGATAGCCTGTTCTCTCATCAATGTCATTTGTCTGGCCTCTTCTTCCTCTTTTTCTTTCTGTTTCTCCATTTGAAGCTTTTGTTCAAATTGTTCTTTCTTTCTTCGTTCGTTTTCTTCTCTTTGCTTTTCTAATTGTTTCTGGCGCTCTTCCTCTTTCTGTGCATCACGTGCCTGCCTTAATTCTGCAAGTTCTGCGTTTCTTTGTTCGGTTAAAATGTTAATTATCATGTTTTCGATTTCTTTCTTCTGTCTTCGTTGTTGTACTTCAAGTCGTTTCTTTTTTGATTCTATAAACTGGTTGTTTATTGTTTCTTCGTCATCTTCAAACGATGTATTTGACATTTCTTTTTCTGCGGCTTTATCTGACTCCATAAGTCGTTCCCTTTCTGCTTTAACTTGTTCTATAAGATCATCGACTGCTTGTGACATCTTTTTCCTTGCCATTTCTCGTACTTTTGGATCTCTAGAATAAGAGTTCAATTTGAATTCAGACGGGTACTGTAATTCGCTAGGATCTACACCAAGATTTGCAATGGCTCTCTTTGTGTAGACTTCTGTAAAATGAGGAGTTTGATTTGGATTAAAATTCGTAATAGATCCGCCTTGCGATTTATTCGATTGACGCATTTCAGGTGGTATTTGCGCAGGCCTCGAAAGTGGAGGCCTTGGAATTGGTTTGGATAAGTCAATTTTCTTTTCCGGTTGTTTTTGTTTGGGTTTTGGTTTCGGAACTGGAGCCATTTTTGCTTGTATGCGTGCTTGTAATGATTCTTTCTTTCCGTTTTGTTGTTGTTTCTTGTTATTTTTATCATTTTGATTATTTCTCGTTTCTTTTTTCGGTTTTGGAATTTCGGTAATAAGTACTGGTTGATGCTGAGTTTCTGCATTGTCGTTATTCTCGAAATCTTTTTCGCTATCGCTATCTTCGAAATCATTCTCTGATTTATCGTTATTTTTCTTGTCCTCTTCGAAGTCATTGTTTTCTTTCTTTTCGTCATCAGAACTTTCGAAATCTTTTTCATCATTATTGTTATTTTCGTCGTTCTGTTTCTTTTCATCTTCATCTTCGAATTCGGAATACTCTTTCTCACTCTCAGATCGTTTCTTGTCAACTGCCTCCTTACTGGAGGCCTTTGAACTCATGAAACTTTCTAATTCAAAAAAAAAACGGATTTTTTAATTCAAATGTTTACATTCAAAGGTGACAAAATAATAGAAACAATATCAAGCCGTACAAGGCTAATTCGTGAAGATATAATGCTGACATGATAAACAATATTCATATCGATACCTTGTTCCGCACAAATGTCCTGATTTGCAAGCTAAAACGCGAATGATTTTTCATTTTTGGGATTATTCTTGAAAATGGAAACCATTTATCATTTCTTTATCTTCTTTACTCTTATTTCCCCGTATTACGTATATGTTTGCATTAGATATTTCAATCTTTTGCTGTCCATTGTAATTATGTAGCATTTTGAGAATGAGTTATGATAAAATGAATTAATCTTGCCTTTGTTTAAAGTAAATTTTGTGTTTGTTCAGTCTTTCTTCTAATTTTTATCTTCTTCCATTTTTATTCATTTAACTTAAGTTTTATATCTCAATACCATAGTTATTTTTGTATATGCTCTATGAACATGCTTGGATTCAGCATTCAAATAGTATTTACTGGTAATTGAAGATTCCAATGTAAAGAAATCAATGATAAATCCATAGAATATCATAACGACTATCAATGTGAAATGCTTTATTCCAGATATGCATGCTCATTTATGAATAAATTGACAAAAATGCAGTAATATCAATCAATATCAGAGAAAAGATGGATCATGATAAGTAAAATATCAATACTAAACGCAGTTAGTATAAAGGAATATAGGACAATGAGTAAATTAGATTATTTTGTTAATTTCAAAATAGAAAATCTATAAAAATGATATTGTTTGTAAAAATCTTAAGATAAATCGATAATATATTAAAAATAAAACCTTTTGTATTTTCCAAATTTTTCTTGTTTTCATGAAAATGATAATAATTACTATAAATTGCACAATAAAATTAAAAATTTCGAATTTTTTTGGAATAAAACTGACAAATGCCGCCAAAAAAGGCTCCATTCCTCGAAGCGCCAAAGGAATTAAAGCCTAATAACCCTACAAAAACAAAAAATACGAACAACACAACTGTTGTAGAGCTTATCGACGATGATTCACCATCGGATTTAACTCATTCACAGAAAAATAATTTAAATCAATCAAAAGCTTCAGTTTTTACTACCAAGCGCCAACTGATAGTTGATTTCATTAATTATGAAACCAAAAGGATGGCTAAAAACCACGATTCTTTAATCCAATCTGAATCTCTACAAAAACAGATCAAAATCATATCCGAATGCCCTAAATGTACATTGGCACGAAAACTAATGTACCGCGGGTTGATATAGTTCTCTTTTCATAATTTTCTCGAAATTATTCATCGAAATACATATGAAAGAATCAACGATCTACAATATACAATATCTGCAAAATCCAAATATTCATGAATAACACTTGAATTTTCAAGATGAATTTGCGTTAAAATTTAAAACAGTAGATACAACAAAAATCAATACGAAAATACGTTGAACTTTAGTAGAATACCATATTTATTAAGTCGAAGTCGATATTTTTTCAATGTTCGAAATCAATATTCGCAATTACGACCCTTACGACTCAAGAATACATCTTAGAAAACACAAAATTCACAAAAGATTTATTCGCTCTCTTTACAATTTTTTTTCCACTAGGTGATTTAGCGCAATGTCACTTCTATATATGATGACAATGCTCTAAAGCACCTAAATTTACGTAAAAATTACTCTTTAACCACTTACTTCACTCGGCTACTTAGGCCGTCTTATGATATTTTTAACCCAAAAGTATGGGAAATCTTAGTAAAATTATAATCTCACATATATATACTATCTATATTTCATATTCTCATATCAAAATTCAAAGTTCTCAATCACGGAAATTTCAAATAAGGACTTTTTGCAAAGTTGGGCCGTCAAAACAATATTCACAGACAGCCATTAGTATAAAGCGCGAATAATAACAAAACGATGAATTGTCCGTTATTTGAAATGGTTCATCATTTGAGAACCCATTTCAAACAATTTGAAATTGAGTAGTAATTGAATCGTAAAATTCGAGGATTCGACTGCTTTCTATGAGATTAAGAGTTTGATTAGTAACGAGATTGGAAAATTAATAAGCGGTGTAATTTTCGAAGAGTTGCAGATAACGCGCTTATTAGTAGCTGATTAATATTCGATGGTGAACTATATTGAAAATTCCAAGATTATGGTGCATATGCGCATACGAAGACATTTGCTTGAGATATGACAAGGTTGGTCTAGAGGGAACCAATCTGCCTGCAATCTATATTCAATCCGAAGTCAGGAATTAAATATGACAGTTTGGTATTTTTTCTTCCATTTGGAATTTCTTGGAATTTTTGTACGCGAGACATAGCACCTGTTTCTGATAAGACATATAATTCATCTGAAATATTCTAAGGACTGAATTTGCCTCGGATTTTGAGTCATGGGCCTCAATAATAATCTCGTTACCATCTCAGAAAAAAAATAGAATCGCGATGATATTTTGCATTTCCTAAGATAGTATAATATATATACCTAAAAATTTGAGAGAAATTTTTGTCTTGTCAAAAGTGAGATAATAAATTAACAAGGCCAAATTATCCCACAATTTTTTGAGTGGAAAAAACCTCCGGACAAGAAACTTTCAGATGGATAAAGGAGGCCGAAATATGTATACTATAGATATAAGGAATATGCCGGAGTATTTTTCACTTCTAAATGAAACAGATAAGGCGGAATACGCTCAGCTACAGAAATCTCTTGAGATCTCGCAAAATCGAAGCTCAAGAAATAAAAAGACGACTGATCTCATGTTAGCCATTGATGAGATCAAACATTACTGCTTGCGTGGCGACTCTGATGACTGTAAGCGATGCATCGTGTGCGGAACATGCTGGCTATCAACTGGTCTTGCAGTTAATATCAAGCAGCTTCAATGTCTTATACAGAAATGTAAGTCTTCGATCAATACCACATTACGCAAAATGGGATACGAGCTCACTAACCCTCGTGGAGATGTCTCCGATGAACTTGCAGAATATCTCCCAATGTTCCGCGGTAAACAGTCTGAGCTTCGTAAGTGGTCAATTAGAACTCCACCAAATTGGTGTGGAAAAATCTATTCAAATAAAAATTCAAATGAAAATGTGATTAATCAAGCTTCTGAACATTCTAGTCCATTAAGTCCATCTCAAGAGAGTTCTTTCGAACAAACTTCTACTGAGCAGCTTCGTTCTCCTCCCGAAGAGCCAGTGTTAACGTGGGAGTACACTCCTAACGATGATATTAGTGCTTGGAACTTTTGTGATTGCGTTTTTGACAACCAAATCTCTGAGCAAACCATGTATAATATTTTCGATTCAGATAATGATATGTACCTTTGATACGGTCAGTTATTATTTTCATGATATTACTTTTTTTCTTCTTTTCTTCTTGTTACTAATAAATCAATATGATATGTTATAATTTACTGCTTGTTCTTGTTCGACTAAACATTTTATCTTAATTAATTCTTGTTTTTATGGTTCCTAACGAAGCAAAAATTCAAAGTTTGACATTCATTAGGTCCATGAAAACTGGCACTTTTTACAGTCTTTTTGAGCGTCAATAGAGTTTTTTTCTTGTTTTGGTATCATTGCTGGCTAAAGCACTATTAGAAAAATATCTTTCGAAACATAAGATGCGATCATTAACATCTTTTCTCAAATTTGATTCACATAAAGCCGATTTTTTATCGTCATTTTGTTAGAATAAAAGATCCATGTTTGTTTTACAACATATTTTGAATTAGTTTTAAAAATGGCAAAATTTGGATAATTTGCGAAATAATCAATATTTTTATTCATAACCCGAATAAACCTGCTTTTTTACAAACATAATTATCTGAAATAGAATCCAAATTGGATCAAATACATCTCAATATCCATTAAATTAATGATTCATTAATCAATGATTGGTAAACATCATGTTTTGCCTACATAACTATCACAATTCACAACTCTTAAGCGCAGGCCTAAATGTTGAAGAATTATTCTGTGAATTTTAAAATTTCTTCTAATTATTCAATTTGAACATATGAATTATATTAAAAAGTAAGTTATAAAAAGGATTATCTATTACTAATAGGTAAACATTCAACAATATTTTTAATTAAATTAATAAACAGGTTTGTGATTTTTCTGGTACTAAGCTTCGGCTAATTTCTGATCTAAGCTCCCCTCTTGACTCTCTTGGATGCATTACTGGAGGGGATTCGTTTGTATCTGCAAATTTTGTATTTTTATCAGGTATTAAACCTTCTTCACTATCATCTGAGTCTTCTACTGTAATAGTTTCATCTGCATGTTGTGGAGGTTCTTTTTCAGAATCTGAGTGAGCAATATCAACTGAATCATCGCCTTCATCTTTATTCTTTTCTGCTGGAGTGGCTTCTCTATTCTCAGCAACTGGTTCTGGATTTGTTTGCTCCTGTGTTTTTTCACTTTCATTATTTTCACTCTTTTTTTCACGTTTAAAAGCTTCTGATGATGAAGATAGTTCAGTTGGGTTTTGCGCTTCTACTTTTTCTGATATGTTTTCTTTACCATTCTCTTCTGACATCGAAAATAAAGTTCAAGAAAAAATAATTCCGTTACAAATTTCAGAGAGAATTTGGTTTTATTTATGATTTCATATGCCATTGATGTGTTGATAATTATCTGCAATGAAACAGGACTGGGAAATTGACATCAGATGAATTTTTGGTTCAATATTTCATCCATCAATCTCAAAGTCAAGATAATTACCAAGTCATTCCTACATTGAGTGTTTTTAAATATAATTTGGATTGATATTTTAAGATTATTTTTTATTGAAAAAAAAATTCAAGAGATGTATATGCGTGAAGTCTTATCTAAGTTTATTTTTAAAAATATTGAGTTATAACAAAAATAAAATAAATTTATTCGCTATTTTCTAAAATAATACAACAATTAAACTATAATTTGGAATCTTATTCTTCACCCATGTCATCGTCATTTACTTGAAGACTGAAGAACTTTGTTATATTCTCTAAGGCTTCTTTTTCTTGTGGAATTACATTTGTATCTTCGAAATCTTTTGCGAATGGATCGTCATCATCACCAAATGCCTTATTGAACAATGGATTATCGAGTATAACTCCATCATCATCATCACTAGGAACTGCTGAAATAACTGTTTCTTCTTTCATATTAGAGTTATCAATATCTTCATCATCGGAATCATCACTCTTCTTCGTTGCAATGATGAAGATTCCGAAGAAATGAGGAAAACAGTTTCAACAGCAGCAACAATAATTAATATAAGTAAGAGAGTAGATATCTTCTTATTTGTTGGTAAATCTTTCTGCAATTCAGGTGTCGGGGTCTCAGTTGGTTCCTCTTCAATAATCTCATCTGTTGGACAGTCATAGAGGTTGTAGAATTCACGCTGATTAAATTTATCATATGGTGTGAAGTTAGAACATGGTGCACGGATGACACCGATGTAGTTCTCGTTGTCCATGTCGCCTTCTTCCGAAAGAACCCAGAAGTCCTTAGAGTAGTTAGATGTAACGAAGTATCGATGTGCCATTGAGTTCAAGAGAGGAGGTTGGTCGATTCCTCCATAGCACAAGTTGTGCAAGTAAGGTGTGTATCTGACAGGTTCCATCTTGTCTTCGACTCTGATGTTTCCTGGGATGATCAATGTCGTGATTCCCCAGTCGATGACTTTTCCTGTGTTACTGTCAATTTCTGGTGCACTAGCAAGAGATGCATCTTTCAGGACACGAATTTCTTCACTCAGCTTGAATGTGTTAGGAATCTTACCGAAAAGACAGACAAGACTCTTACTTGACTTCTCGATAAGGTGATTTCCATCGATGATCTCGTACTTAGTGTTCTCTGGTGAAACAACGATGTTGATACTATATGCTCCATAGAATGCTATTGGATAAATGTCTGTCAAACTTCCTTTGATTGTGAATGTCTGAATGTTTGTTCTTGCGAATGTCATGTTTCCGATAGATGTGAGAGAGTCTGAGTATTCAACTACAGATAGAGAAGAGTTCTCGAACATACTATCTGGAAGTGAAACAACATTTGGACCAAATACAACTTTCGTCAACTTCTTGCAATTAACAAACATTCCCTTGTATAAAGTAAGGTTTTGGATGTTAGCGTTGAAGTATAATTCTTCAAATCCAGTGTTTCCGAAATGACCAATTCCAACTAAACTTCCGAGATCAAATGTACTTGGGAATACAACATTCTTCAGTCCTGTGCAGTTAATAAATGCTTCAGAAAGAACCTCTGTAGCTTTGCTTATATTAATGCTTTCAAGGGAAACACAGCCTGCAAATACACTATGGCTGATAGCAATAACATTTTCAAGGTTGATTTGTGTTAAATTAGTGCACATGTAGAAGCATCCTGTGCTAATATATTTGATTGTTGGTGCAAGATGAACCTTTGTTAATGATGTGCAGTAACTGAAATCACCAATGGAATATTTATCACCATAATATTGAGATCCAATTGCATCATCAGAGAAGAATAGTGTTGTAACTGTTGAATGATCCAAAAAGTAATATTGCTTGACATTTGTTGCGATATCGAATGGTTTCTTGTACCACATGAAAGCACCATTTAGAATCATTATTGCCCATAAGTTATATGGAATAACAGCATCAGGAGCAACATAAGCAACACTATATACTGAATAGAATATCTTCTGGGAAGGAACCCAATAGTTAAATTGATCATCGCATTGGAATTCGAATTCATGGTTGCATCCTGTGAAAGGAACCATCCAAAATCTTAAAATGCGTTGGCCAATACGAATGTTCTTGAGGTTTGGACATTCAAAGAAAGCTGGTTTTCCTTCTTCTTGAATCTGTTTTCTCATGTAAACGCCACTAACATTTGATCTCATGAATGAATAGTTGCCTAAAACTTCAACATTCTGAAGGTCGATTTGAATTGGAAGATATGTGTAAGCGAAGGCTAAATCTCCAATTGAAGAGCAACTTGCAGGGATAGTGAATGACTGTAACTTGGTGCAATACATGAAACATCCTGTAGGAATACTTGTTGGAGAGTAGCTAACTGTGACAGTGTTTAAGTTAGACATGTTCATGCAACACCAACTACCAAGACCTTTGACACTGATCGTTGTTATAGATTGGCAGTTGTAGAGAGCACGTTCTTTGAGAATGCAGTTTTGTATTTGAACATTCAACTTTTGGCAGTCATAAAGACCACGGTATCCGACTGTTGTTAACTGAGAACCAATTTGAAGATTTGTCAAGGCAGAACAGCTCATGAAACCATCTGTTGATATCTCAGTGAGACCACTTGCAGTAACACTTGTTAAAGCTGTGCAATCTTTGAACATCGCATCTGGTAACTTTGTCAAAGAGGCAGGAAGTGTAACTGTTGTTAAACTGCTGCAGCCATAGAACAAACCATATGAATTCGTGAACGTTCCTGTGATACCTGAGAGATCAACAGTCTGAAGTTCAGAATTAAACTGGAAAGTCAATTGTGACAACTCGAAAGAGATGGTTCCAGATGCTGGTTTGATCGTAGCCATCTTTGTGTTCATGAAAGAGTAGCTTCCAATAGATGTTGCAAGTTCAAACGGAAAAGATGTCAAAGCAGTATTGGCAAAAGCATAGTCACCAACACCGATATTGACATTGGTTGATGTTACAGTCTGCAGCTGAGGACAGTTGTTGAAAACGTAGTCTCCAAGAATAAGATTCTGAGAACCTTGTGCAGAAACGAACGAAACCTTTGTGAGGGATAAACAATTCTCAAAACAGCTAGCAGGGATTGTCAATTCGTCACTGAGAGTGATAGAAGCTGTTTCGATTCCACTCGAATAAAATGGTGCTGCACCAAGACTCTTGATACTCTTGAGGGTGACACTCTGTAGGTTGTAGCACTTCTGGAAACTGTATTGACCAATAGTCTCAACGTTTTCTAAATTGATGGATCTAAGAGAACTGTATGTAAATGCATTCTGTGCAATTTTGGTAACACCACCGTGGAGAGTTACGGTTTCGATGTAGTTGTTCTGATAAAAGCACTTCTCTGGAATTTCAGTGATTCCTGCGGCAAGAATATCGACGTTCTTGACAAGTTCGAATCCTTGAAATCGAACCATCTTTGTCAATGAGCCAGTCAATCTGAGATTAACAGCACCATTTTTGATGATGAGGGAAAGTGTTTCGTCGTTTGTGAAATCAGATGAATCAGAGATCTCTACTGTTGGTCCTGCTAATGCTGCAGTATCTAAATATACATTCAATGTGAGAAGTCTCGTTAAGGTCAGGGAATTCAGCATTTATTAGAATTGAACCTTATATATTCAATATTTTGAATTTGATTTTAAACATTCAATCAGAAATTTAAGAGTTAGTAATAATTGATCAATTACAGTATGCATGTAAAGATCTATATTTATAAAGCGGTCATTTAAGAATGTGAAACAATAAGAGTATAATAAGATTTATTATATTTGGTGCAATCTATTAATTAGTTTCAATGACCAATTTTGATTTTTTGATAGATGTCAGAAAAAAGTTAACAATTGATCAATTCTATCTACTGTTTGGATTAATCTTAAAGAAACCCATAGATGCCTAGAAACGACGAATACTGTCAGTTTAACTTGGCCATTCGAAACTTATTTTTTTAATAAGGTTGTAAAACTCAGTTTTTTTTCTACAAAAAAATCCTATAATAGTTAATGGAAGCATGCTAAAAATTACTTTTCAACAATATAAGGTTCTCAAATAATTCATAAGGCTTGTTTTGAAAAGCACATTGAATTTTCTGAATTTTAATTTTTCTATACTTGTTCGAATATTGTATTATTCTATTAATAATTGGAATTAAGTAAATTTTAACGCTACTCTTAAAAATGACTGTAAGATTTTTTACAATTCAATTTAATAAGTTCAGGATTAAAGTGTTAACAACCACCTTGTTTTCCCATATCCTGGAGGAGAACATACGCTTAAATTCATACACAACCTCTAGTAGTATGATTACTTTAGATAAAGCTTCTGATTTTAACAATGGAACAGTTATTTCAGAGTATATGACATCAAATTCTATTACATCATTGACAATTGGTGGAACTATTAAAACAATACCATTTACTGGTGGATATGAACCTTTTCAGGTTGCTAAAACCATTACAATTGATTCATCTGTTGTATCAATTCAAGATCATGCGTTTCAATTCTCAGTTAACCTTGAAAAAGTTATACTCAATGGAGTTATAAACACAATACCAAAGTTCGCATTCTCACATTGTGAGAAATTGACTTCATTCGATTTCGATAAGATTTCTACTATTGAATTTGCAGCCTTTGAACATTGCTATTCATTAGTTACTATTGCATTATAAAATTCACAGGTTATTGGTGATCAAGCGTTTAGATTTTGTAAAGGGATCAAAGTTATGAACAATTTTGAGGTCGCAACATTCATATTAGGGAAGCTTGTTTTTTATGGATGCACAAGTTTAGATATTCAAAAAATTGGAACAAACTTTAACCTTATTAGTACAGATTCACAACCGTTTATCAGAACAGGAATTACAACATTAACAATCAACACAGGAGTTCAATATTTGTTCTGTAACAGTCCAAGTTTAACAACAGTTGTCTTTTCAGAAACGAGCGGATTGACGTTTGTTCCTTCACACATGTTTGAGAACTGCACAAGTCTTCAATCAGTCACATTCAACAGTGGAATGACAACAATCAAAAGATTTGCATTCGCAAACACAGCATTGACGAAACTTGATTTGAAGAATGTTTTCATTCTCGAACCATTATCATTCTATAAATCAGGTGTCCAAGAGATCACTTTCAACAAGAACGTCGAAGTTAAAAATATCTGGGATACAGAATACAAAGATGAAAGTGACGTCAAAGGAGAATATGATGATGTTTACACAATCGAACAGATGAACAAAGGAATTCTTTCATATTTGACACAGTTCATGGATGTTGAATTCGAAAGTGATTTCAGACTAATCGAAAAGTATTCAACACATCGTTTCTGTGTCTTCTTGAACGAATCAAGACTTACTAAGATCACATTAGGCAGTAGTGTTACAGAGTTCAAATCATCGATGTTCGCAAACTGTTCATTGACAACATTCGATGTTACAGGAAACAGCAACTTCGTTTTTGAAAGTGGCATTCTTTACAGCAAATCTAAGATTGAACTTATTTGCATTGCCACATTAGCTGCAACTGAATACACTGTTCCATCATCCATCTCTATCATTTCTCCATTCGCTTTCACATTCGTTCCAACAATCACAAAGATAACAGTTCCATCTTCTGTTGCCAAGTTTAACTATGCCTTTGCAAACATGAACAGATTGAGAAACATTACATTCCAAGGCTCTGTTTCATTTATTCCAGATGGTGCATTCTTCTGCTGCCACTCTCTCAAAAATATCGAAATTCCATCATCATCAACAGTCACAAGCGCAGGTGATCTCTCATTTGCATTCTGCTACTCACTTGTCAATTTGATGACAAACTCATTCGAAAAGATTGGCAGAGGATGCTTCATTTGCTGCCAAAAATTGAGCTCAGTTGACTGCAGTAAATTAACAATCTTGAATGAGTTCACATTCTATCATTGCATAGGCAACACAACATTCACATTTGGTGACAACATCAAGATCATTTCAAAGAATGCATTCTTCATGTCATCAATCGAATCATTTACTGTTCCAGCTAATGTCATATCAATTGAACAGCAAGCATTTTCAATGTGCAAGGAGTTAACAACCGTCACATTGAATTCTAAGTTGGTTCGCATTGGCAAAGAAGCATTTGCAGGCAGTGGTGTCAAGAATATCCAGATTCCAAACAGTGTTAGATTCATTGAACAGTCTGCTTTCGATAACTGCAAGAATGTCACATTCTCATTCGAAACAGGAGGCCATCCATTGTTTGATGTTGACAACAACTGCTTCATTCATAAAGCAACAAAGAACCTTCTATTCACATTCGGTGACACATATCACAAGTTCACTGTTTCAGAGAAAGTTAAAGAAGTTTTACCAAACTCTCTTCGCTTCACAACAGTTCAAAGAGAAAGAAATGAAGGTGGATTCACTCTTTTCTCCGGTGTCAACACATTAGTTATCCCAGAAGTTGTTTACGATGTTCAAGACAATCTCACAAATAATCCACTCATCGACAGTGTCTGTCTCGATGGAATATCTACATTCAACTTATTCTTCCCAATCAGAAATGACATGACAGTTTTCATCACAGATGATTTTGTGTATGGAACATATTACAACACTATACACGTTATCCATGACATGTGCAAAGACACAGTCGACTCACGTTATGACCCTCGCCGTTATGACAGACTTGATGGCATCTATGAAGGAAACTGCTCAACATCAATCAACGACACATACACATCGGAATTCAGTGATCCAATCTATGGCGGAAACTTCCCATTCATCAACCAGAAGCAGGCCAAAGCAGTCTTTGAATATGCTGGTGTTTCCCCACTCACTGCATTTATATCCATCTATGTCATCCTTATTACCCTCGCTCTTATCTTTTCAGCTCTTTATATTGCGCGCATCAATTAATTATTTTTATTTGAATAAAGAATTTTTTGTTCTCTAAATTATGAACTTTATATTGCGCGTACAAATTAATTATTTTTATTTGAATAAATTTTTATTGTTTCACATATTAAAATTACATTAAGTTTTAATAGAAAAGCTTTTTTTTATTTATCGCAATTTTTTTAAAATATAGGGTGTCCAAAGGTGCGTTTAGCACAGCGCTCTATATGAGACTATTAAAGGAGATATATGCTGATTATAAATATATAATAAAAAATATGAATATATGTATATGATGAGTATGTTGTATTTTGGCGCCATGCCGGGATATAAAATGAATTTTGAGACAAGAGGCAGTTTCGCGGGAAATTTTGGCGGGATTTTTTTCATTTTTTTAATGAATCATAAAGAAAACATCCTCGCTCTTGCAAAAAAATGCAAAGACTGTAAAAAAATCTACGAGACATTGGTAAAATGCTTCGGTATGGATGCTCCTAGCTATTCCACTGTAACGGATCATGTTAGGATGTATCACTTCATGAACAAAAAGGCGCCCATCATAAAAATTGACAAAAAATCGCCGGATCAAAGAAAAATCAAAGCAATTCTTCAAGCGCTAGATGAAGACCCAAGAGCATCACTCAGAAGGATAGAGGAGATGACAAAGATACCACGTACAACAGTCAGTTATTATCTGCACAATTATTTGAACTACAAACTAGCGTATACACGTTGGGTTCCGCACAACCTTAATTCAGTTCAAAAAAAATCTAGAGTCCAATCTTCGAAAGAGCTCCTCTCTATATTGGGTGCGTATCAATCCAAGAAGTTTCGCTTTTTAGTAACAGGGACGAGTCTTGGTTTCAATATGCAACAGAAGCCAAAATCATGTGGATCCCGAAGGATGAAAATCCGCAAACATTCCGAAGAAAAAAATTGACACACCAATGATGATGTTGTCGGTTTTTTGGGGCGTGAATGGCATCATCGCAATTGATATTCTTCAAAAACCTAATACGATGAATGCTCAGTATCTAATTGACAATGTTCTTACTCAAATTATCAATTCTGATGAGTTTGAGAAATCCAAACAACAAAAACAAAAGTTTGCAATTCATTTTGATAATTCAAGAGTTCACAAAAGTCATAAGGTAATGAATTACTTGGTGGAAAACAATGTCAAAGTTGTTCCAAACCCAATTTATTCACCTGATATTGCACCCTCTGACTTTTATTTATTCGGCACGCTAAAAAAGAGAGCTGAAGGACGCGAATTCGCGAGTCCAGATGATCTTGAAAATTTTGTAAGAGAGCAATTTGAGCAATTTTCTCATGATGATTTAAAGCGTGTCTTTCAAGCCTGGATCGATCGCTGCGAACGCGTGATTGAATCCAATGGTGATTATATTTAAATAAACTTTATATATATGTAACTTGTTTATTTCTATTCGCAGTATTCAGGTTTGTGCTAAACACACCTTTGGACACCCTATATAATAACATTATCTTTCTTCAATATCCATTCCACCAAACAAATCAGCGTCTTTGTTATCGTCTTTCTCTTCGAAGTCTTCTGCAAATGGATCGTCGTTGTGGAATCCTTTGTTGAAGAGAGGATTGTCGAGAGTGATGGATCCATCATTGTCTGTATTGTATGAGTACAATGCTGTCTCTTCTTTCATTGGTGCTGGTTCGGTTTCTTCACTCGATGATTCTGTGTCTTTAGTCGCGAAGTATATGTAGAATGCGATGAGACATATCAATACTGTCTCGATGACAGCGAGGATGATTAAAGCGATCAAGAGTCCTGATGTCTTCTTAGATGATGGTACTTCTTCTTGTAATAATGGTGTCTCAGTTGGTGTCTCTTCAATAATCTCATCTGTTGGACAGTCATAGAGGTTGTCAAACTCGCGTTGGTTGAACTTTTCGTATGGTGTGAAGTTAGAACATGGTGCATGGATGACACCGATGTAGTTCTCATTGTCCATGTCGCCTTCTTCTGAAAGAACCCAGAAGTCCTTAGAGTAGTTAGATGTAACGAAGTATCGATGTGCCATTGAGTTCAAGAGAGGAGGTTGGTCGATTCCTCCATAGCACAAGTTGTGCAAGTAAGGTGTGTATCTGACAGGTTCCATCTTGTCTTCGACTCTGATGTTTCCTGGGATGATCAATGTCGTGATTCCCCAGTCGATGACTTTTCCTGTGTTACTGTCAATTTCTGGTGCACTAGCAAGAGATGCATCTTTCAGGACACGGATTTCTTCACTCAGCTTGAATGTGTTAGGAATCTTACCGAAAAGACAGACAAGACTCTTACTTGACTTCTCGATAAGGTGATTTCCATCGATGATCTCGTACTTAGTGTTCTCTGGTGAAACAACGATGTTGATACTATATGCTCCATAGAATGCTGTTGGATAAATGTCTGTCAAACTTCCTTTGATTGTGAATGTCTGAATGTTTGTTCTTGCAAATGACATGTCTCCGATGGATGTGAGTGAGTCTGAATATTCAACTTCAACAACAGATGAATTCTCAAACATATGATCGAGAACGGCAGTTACACCAGGACCAAGTGTTACCTTTCTTAACTTCTTACATCCAATAAACATTCCTTTGAAATACGATGGCTTTAACATTGCAGTTGAAAATGTAATTTCTGTGAAACCAGTGTTTTCGAAAAAGCTCATTCCTGTTTCTTCTTGATAGATTGTCATAAGACAAAATAGTGGAAGTGAGGTGAAGTCAAAAAGTGACACATATTTGGCCGGCTAAATTCCCCTTTAGTTTACATGTCAAAATTACAATAAATTAATTATTTTGCTTAGCAATTAGCTATGTATTAAAACTAAAATTATTACTATTCAATTCTTTACATTCAAATATTAAACAATTCAAATTTAATAACAAAGATATTACAATAAATAAAAAAATGATTAAAAATGTCCCTGAAAATTTTCTGAAAGCTATCTCGTGTTTAGGTCTCAATTTTTTTTAGAAATAGAAAAAGATTGGATTTAACTTTCAAACATTATATATAGTTTTGTATATGGAAGCCTTTAAATACAAGTTAATGATATGGAGTTATATTGCGAGGAAGAGGGAATCAAAGAAATTGACGAAGTTCCAGAATTTTATTCAACAATTCTTAATCAATTAACAAAAACTATACCGAAACTTATCTTACCATCCAAATCAAATCACATTACATACGGAATAAACATTTAATCTTTTACCATTAAAATTATATTTATACGTTATTTAATTTTTTTACGTCTAAGTTGAATAGGATAATAGCCGAAGATATAAAGTAACTATAGTTTACAAGCTAAGGAACAAATCAGCATTGAAACTAAAAAATGCTGAAATATTATAATAAATTGAAGAAATACTGTGATAGAATACCTAGTTATACTAGATACTATTATAATATGAATTCATTTGTATTGAATATCGATAATAAAAAATCGATGAAATATTAAAATGAGAATAAATTAATAATGAGATTATAAATTAGAATTATTTCTCTTTTATTTAAAATAAAAACTTAGTTCTATTTAAATTCGATAAAGAAGTACGAAAAAGTTGTATTATACGTATGATGTTGCCCGATGTTTGGTAACACTATTGTAGAATATAAGCATATATGATAGAAAAGCAATATGCTTAATATCGAGTAATTCTAATTTTTTACGAAATTATTCAAATACGTTATTTTTTAAAATGAAAAGATAAGCATACCATTATGCAGTAGTTTGCGCACATATACTATGCTGATGAAAGTTGGTCTCTAATTCGAAACTTGAGTCTGTCAAATTGACGTTCAAGTATTAAAAAGTTGTATTATACGTATGATGTTGCCCGATGTTTGGTAACACTATTGTAGAATATAAGCATATATGATAGAAAAGCAATATGCTTAATATCGAGTAATTCTAATTTTTTACGAAATTATTCAAATACGTTATTTTTTAAAATGAAAAGATAAGCATACCATTATGCAGTAGTTTGCGCACATATACTATGCTGATGAAAGTTGGTCTCTAATTCGAAACTTGAGTCTGTCAAATTGACGTTCCATCTTATTTTAATCGATATTCAATACAAATGAATTCATATTATAATAGTATCTAGTATAACTAGGTATTCTATCACAGTATTTCTTCAATTTATTATAATATTTCAGCATTTTTTAGTTTCAATGCTGATTTGTTCCTTAGCTTGTAAACTATAGTTACTTTATATCTTCGGCTATTATCCTATTCAACTTAGACGTAAAAAAATTAAATAACGTATAAATATAATTTTAATGGTAAAAGATTAAATGTTTATTCCGTATGTAATGTGATTTGATTTGGATGGTAAGATAAGTTTCGGTATAGTTTTTGTTAATTGATTAAGAATTGTTGAATAAAATTCTGGAACTTCGTCAATTTCTTTGATTCCTTCTTGAAGCGTTGAAATTTCTTATTGACTCTCTTAGATCTTTAACAACTCCATCTACAATCCAAAGCGGTAATTTACTTGAATCATATTTTTCTGAAATTTCGTAAAATTTGTTAGGTGTGTACCATGTATGTAATGTCGGTTTTTTTGGTAAACTTGTGTGTGGGTTTGAATTGTAATTTTCTATAAGACTTTGTATATCATTCCATGTGGCGTCTTCAATTTCCACATTTTGCCAAAACCTTTCAATTTTCCCATTCATATATGGGCAATGTGGGAGAATTGTAATACTTTGAACGTTCGCATTTTGTAATAAATTTCGAAAAAACCCAAAATTTTCTGTTCCGTTATCACTCCATATAGCAAAGGGCTTCCCATATTTTTGGAAACATTGGTCAATTACTCTACTTGTTTGCGCAGCTTCTTTTGTTTCCAAGTGAGCCCATGCTAAAATTTTTCGGGATTTATCGTCAATAACCGCATAAAGATATTCACCCTGACGATGTTTAAAAAAATGAATATCGACATGCCATATTAAGTTTATATATACTGCTTCGTATTTTGTTTTTCCTTTTGGTACTGAATTTTTGGCAGGTTGAACGATATTCAGAATTTTGAAATAGGGATGCGACGGTTTTACGCCATGACCGTTTAAAAATAGAATAATACGCCATTCAGCCGAATAACAAAACAATACAAAATTATCGCCGTCCTTTTTTTTTTCTTTCTTTCTTTCTCTTTTTTTTCTCTCTCTCTTTCTTTTCTCTTTCCTCTTTTTACTCCTCTTTCTCTTTTCATCATTAAACGTAGAAAGATATATTAATATTATTTTAAAATTAAAAAAAAATAAAGAAAGTATAATAAGTAATTATTTAGTTATCGATATATATATGTAAAGTGATAATCTGAGGAGGAGTCTGAGGATTAGACCGAGGAGTAGTTTGAGGAGTTTGATGATAATCTGAGGAGTTTGAGGAGTAGTCTGAGGAGTTTGAGGATAATCTGAGGAGTAGTTTCAGGAGTTGTCTGAGGATAATTTGAGGAGTTTGAGGAGTAGTCTGAGGAGTTTGAGGATAATCTGAGGAGTTTGAGGATAATCTGAGGAGGAGTCTGAGGATTAGACTGAGGAGTTTGAGGAGTAGTCTGAGGATAATCTGAGGAGTTTGAGGATAATCTGAGCATAATCTGAGGAGGAGTCTGAGGATTAGACCGAGGAGTAGTTTGAGGATAATCTGAGGAGTAGTTTCAGGAGTAGTCTGAGGACTAGTCTCAGGACTAGTCTGGTGAGGAGGACTCTAAGGAGTAGTCTGAAGAGTAGTCTCAGGAGGAAGATCTGAGGAGGAGTCTTATGAGGAAGATCTGAGGAGTAGTCTGATGAGGAGGGGTCTAAGGAGTAGTCTGAGGATGATGAGTAATCTGATAAGGAGTAGTCTGAGGATGATCTGAGGATAACCTGATGACTAGTCTAGGAGTGGTCTAATAAAAATGTAAAATATTTTCAAAGAAAAAATTCTATGAATTTTATATTTTAATTCTTAGCATTATACTGAATAAAATAAACATAAATATCAAAATTTGAAATTGAACACGCCAAAAGATTGATAATCCACATTCAATATTTTGTAAGTGGCGTACTTTTTGAATACTCGCCATACGCCTTGGAGTTCTCAATTTTGAATTCGCCTTTATTTGGGCGACCTCAGAAAAATACGCCATTAAGAAAATATTGTATGAGATTTTAAATTTGAACACGCTCTACCTTAAGGAATTAAATTTATTAAGATATATTTATATATAATAAACGATTACTTAAAAAAAGTATTTCATCGCTTATGTAAGTTTCAAAAAAATCACGAAAATAAAAAAATCAAGATTAAAATTTTATTTTTAATTTTTGAATTTCTCAAATGGCGAAATTTTTGGGCGAACAAAAAAAAATGTACGCCCGGTCAAATGGCGTGTTTAACGCATCCCTATTTTGAAACACTTCTTTACAGTTCTTTCTGAAAAGTTTGTTTCCAATAATTTTTTGTTAAAATAATCGGTTGATTTTTCCAAATTTTGAGTAGTTTCTGTATGAACGATATATGGATCTTCAGATAATTCCGACTCAATTTGTGGATCTTCTTCAGAAGAATTGGAAGAAAAAAGTTTTTCTGCTGATGAATCAGAATCAGAATTTGTATACTCAGAAAGATATTCCGAAGAATTTGAAAAACCTATTGGATTTGTATTTAATTGTGAAATTGGTAAATCATCTAAATCATGATTAGCATTTTCGGTTTCCCTTTGAATTAACATATCCTTATCGGTAATAATTCTTCCGTATGCTCTTGATATTCCGATTTTTTTAACTTTTTGATGTAATTTATTTACTGTATCTAATAATTCCTCAGGTGGTTCGATTGGTTTACGCCCTGGTTTAAATTTTGTGTCAGGAATTCCATTTGATTTAATTGCTAAGTGGAATGTTTTTTTAGATATTGATGGTATAATGCGTCCATCAGTGAGTTGGACATTGCTAAGTATTGTTTTGAGTTTTTGACCTTGATTAATTTGTTCAATTGCAGATTGAATCCAATTTATATCAATTAGATCGTAGATCTTTCGACTCATCTGAAATTTTATAACTTTTGAAAGAAACCGTAAAAATTGTGAAACATGCTTTTTAATAAAAAACAATTTTGATGAAAACCATAAATTAATTTAAAATTGAAATAAATTTTTGAAATCTATGATATTGAATAAAAAAATTTATAGTGTAGATATTGATATAGATATAGATGTTAATTTTAATATGATATTTGATAAAATTTTTTTATCAAAACATACTGATAATAGGTTGACATGTAATATGATATTTTGCCTTGTAAATATATTTGGTCGGCAAAATAACCTAATTACTCTTATTTTGAGTTCACTTCCACCATTTCGTCTTATGATAATTCTGTACTATAAGCAAAATCAATTGCTATTAGAACATCGCTTTCTGGAACATCTCTATATGTTACTGATGTTAAAGATGAGTTTCTGAACCAATAATAATGATTAGTAACAGCATTGACTTGGAGTGGTTTCTTGTACCACAAGAATGCTGTATATTCGAAGTTGTACTGCTCGAAGAATCCATCAGGGAAAGTTGCATCTTCTCTAATATATATAACAGCGTTAGTATTAAAGAGGACCTTGTGTTCAGAATCCCATACAATTGTAGAACTTTCTGATGAGATTTCGAACTTGTTGTTGCATCCAATAAAAGCCCACATATCAGCGGATTCAACACTACGAGCAAATTTAATTGTAACAAGGTTTGGACAGTCGAAGAAAGCTTCCCAGAATTGGCCTGTATCGCTATTAATTTTGACACCTGGAAGTTTTGATCCCCAGAATGAAGCACGCTTAAGAGCTGTAACTCTGTTAAGGTCAAAGACTTCTTTAAAGTTTGTGAATGCAAATGCAAGTTCAAAGATAGTGCCGACGCTGTTTGGAAGGTTAATTGACTCTAGTTTGGTGCAATACATGAAACAACCAACAGGAATGTGGTTCTAGTTAGAGTTAATTTGTACAGTCTTCAGAGCAGACATGTTGAGACATGACCAGTAACTTATGTATGTGACTGAGATTCTTTCAATAACTTCGTTCTTGTAAAGAGCACGTTCGTCGAGGTGACAGTTCTGTACAGGGATGTTGAGTTTCGGACAATTGTGGATACCACGATATCCGATCTTTGTCAATTTAGAAGATCCAAGATCTAAAGTTGTCAAGGAGATGCAGCTCATGAAGCCATCGGTCGTAATATATGTCAGACCAGGTGCTGTTACTGTTGTCAGAGCTTGGCAATCTTTGAACATTGAGTCTGGTAAAACTGTCATAGAAGCAGGAAGTTTAACTGTCGTCAGTGCACTGCACCTGTAGAAGATACCATATGAATGGTCGTAGTTTCCATCAACATTCGTCAGATCAACTGTCTGAATGTAGTAATTAAACATGAATGTCATTCTCGAACCCGCAAATGAAGTTGTTGCAGAAGAAGGTGCTACAGTAGTAAGCTTAGTGTTCAGAAACGCATAACTGCCAACCGAACTTAAAGATTCGAAAGGAAAAGTTTCTAAACCTGTGTTTGCAAATGCGTAATCATAAACGTTGAGTAAAAGTCTGCTTGATGTCACAGTTTTCAACATATGACAATTCATGAAAGCGTAGTCTAAGAGAGTGAGAGTTGTTGGAACGTCAGAGTCAGGACCAGATTTATAGAAAGAAACAGTCGTTAAGAAGTAACAGTTCTGGAAACTTCCTCGTTGGATAGTCAAGTATGATCCAACTGAAATCGTTAAAGTTTCGATTCCACTTTGATAGAAAGGACCAACACCGATGACACTGACCTTCTCAAGGTTGACTGTTTTGAGATTTGGACACTTCTGGAATGCGTAGTGTCCAATAAAGTCGACGTTCTCTAAGTTGATGCTTTGAACAGAACTATATGTGAATGCATAGTTTCTGATTCTGTTTATCCCATTATGCAATGTGACTGTTTCGATGTGTGAATTCTGATAAAAGCACTTCTCTGGAATCTCGGTGATTCCTGTTGCTTCAATAACAACATTCTTGACAAACAAGTATCCTCGAAACTTAGGCATCTCTGTCAATGCGCCTGACAGTTTGAGTGTTGTAGCTTTATTCTCAACAATGAGTGCGATCGTTTGTTGATTTGTAAAATCGGCATCATCAGATATCACAACAGTTGACCCAGTGAGTGATGCAGAGTTACAATCTATCTGTGCTGATAAAAGATGGATAAATATGCTATTGCGAAACATTTTTGGTTGATTGAATACTTGAAACTTTTTTTTGAATATAATTGAATTATTTTTGAAAAATAAGGCTAGTATTATCTAATTGAAGATATTTAAAATGAATAACTTAAATACCAAAACCACTTTTCATTTATCCCAACGATGGAGGGAATGCATCAGTTTAACACACAATGCTAAATTGTTGTATCGATAGAACAAAAATATTTCACAGAGATTTTGCACACAAAAAATGATTATTTTTTCGAGAACAACTGAAAAACAACATTGAATAGTACTTGAATCACCAAAAATGGAAAATATGAACATAATACATAAGACTATGATTAATCGAAACTGACCAATTTTGAATTTTTAAGAATGTTATAAGGTAGCAAGTATTGAAATTTATTGACAAAATTGATTGAAGCTCACAAATTCATCGTCACAGTTGATATTTTTACTAAATTCCTAATTCTTAATAATATTTAAAAAAAAAAAAAAAAAAAAAAAAAGGTAGTGGGGCTTCCAGGCACTTCGTGCCCTCTAGCCCCCCGTCACTTTTCTGTCACTTTTCAGGAAAAAACATTTTTATTATATATATAAAATGAATTTTACAAAACCACCGTTACCCTTCTTTGGAAATAAGAGTAGATGTAAAGATATTCTATTGAGAGAACTTAAGAAACTACCGAATGGTCTAACATTTGTAGATTTGTTCGGTGGAAGTTTCTATATATCTCATTTGTGCCATACTGTATTTCCTGACTCAAAGATTATATGCAATGACTTCGACAACTATATGAACCGTCTCAAACATATACCAGACACAAACAAAATATTGAGTGAGTTAAAAGAAAAGATACCTATAGGTAAGATGGAACGTATACCATTAGATAAGAAAAATACTGTCAGAGAGGTTTTGAAAAAGGCAGAGTATATTGACTGGGATAGTATATCTGCTAGACTATTATATAGTGGTGCTATAAGAGTTCATGACATTGAAACACTTATGTCAAAAGTTTTATATCTTAACTATACAAATGTTTTCAAAGAGAACATAGAAAAATATATTGAGGGTATAGAGTTTGTGAGATGTCATTGGACAGAGTTGTATGAAAAATATAAAGACAAGGAAAATGTTTTCTTTATAGTGGACCCGCCGTTCTTTAACACATGGGATTTTCAATACCAAGTAGACTGGACTTTGAGAGACTCTTTAGAAACTTTAGACGTTTTACATAACCATCCATGCTTTTACTTTACATCCGATAAAAGTGGTTTGGAAACCGTTATGAGATGGTTAGAGGACATACATGACTATGAGTTTAGATACGATAAGATAGAATATGAGAGAGGTCCTATAAACTGGAGAAAGTGTCACAATAAAGAAATTTTATTGGTAAGTAAATGTGGTTTGAAATAGGACTACTTGTTTTAGGTTTTTTCCATTGTGTCATTTATTTATTTGACGTGGCAGAAAGATATAGAGAATATGAAGATGAACCAATGCCTGCAAATGTTCAGCATATGTACTCGTAAGAGATATTTTTATCTAATATTAAATGGACGCACAGAACTTAGCGAATGCACAGCAACTGGACAACCAAACCCAGAGAATATTCCAAATGAAGTTAGAATACAAACTGCAATGGCAAACTATGGTCAAGTGCCAACAGATGTACAAATGCAAACTGCCATGTCAAATGACGCTGCGTTAGGTTTGCCACCATGGTATGCAAATATGAGATGGAAAGAGTTTTATACAAACCCTGAAGTGGGATATAAACAACTTTATGCAGATGACGCGAACACAGGAGTTGACCCAGAATATGTTTTTCTACCAGAGGAGAAACAGAATGTATGAGCTCCAGTTAAAGAATGCTATGGAACTCAACAGGAAACGTAAGAGACTAGGCGGACATTAGATTTTTACATATAGTAAAATGGGTTTCTTCAGTAGTATTGGAAACTTCTTTCGAAATGTTGGAAGAGGTATATGGAATGGAATAAAAACCGTCGGAAGAGGAATTTGGAACGGAGTCAAAAATATTGGCAAAAGAGTAGGTCAGTTCGTTGGTATTATACCTAAAGACCCTGAACCAGAAGAGCAAGCTCCTGTTATACAACAGCCTGAACCTGCACCACAGTCAAGTTGGCAACCAAATCCAACACCTCAACCGTATTAAAAATTATATTTTTACCGTTCGATAGTAGTTGTATATGAAACTAAGTTCTAAGTAAAACGCATGGTATAATGGAATTATTCTTTTTCTTCCATCTGTAGTAAACCATACTTGAAAGTCTGAAATACTTCCACTTGGTGGTTCGTATAGCTTTGTAGGTTTTTCGTAAAAGTCATTTGCCAAGCATAAAAAAGAGTTTTGTGCACCAGAAAATGAAGCATGAACTATAATAGCATCTGAGTCGAAAACATTTTCATATGTTCCATTAGGGTTTTCGACTTCATAAAAGTTCGGGTGTACTGGATATTCTGCAGGCTGATTTAACATCCTCAAAAATCTATACCATGCCAAGTTGTTATATTTTGTAGAAATATAAACGTCTTCTCCAAGGTCTTCTATTCTATTGATTTTAACAGTTGCATTTTTCCTGTCATATATAATATCGAGATGGTACTCTCCTTCGTCAATGTTGTACTGTTTTGCATATTCGAGATAGATATCGTTTATTTTTTCTTGAAAAGCTTGAAGAGTTGTTTCTAAGTTTACAAGCAAATTCACTTGTAAAAGTTTTCCCTGTTCAAATTTCTCATACGTATGTTTTTCTTTGTTATAGTATCGAACTTCAAAAGCGACCGTAAATGGGAAACCATGTATGGCTTCTGAAATGAACTTCATTCTACGAAAGCCAATAGCTTTTGTGACGGATGGGTCTCTTAACCATCTTAAGGGGTAGTCAAAACGATAGCCTTCATGCTTTACGGTCTCTGTCTCAAACTTTTGACCGACATTAGTAAAAAGTTCATCTAATGGTTTAGTTGTAGCAACTCTTGAATTTTCTTTTTCTATTGAAAGCATATTTTATCTAGAATAAAAATGTCGAAAGAAACAGCGTCTATGAGAGAAATACAACACAACCGACAACTCATTTTGCAAGCTCTAAATAAGAACACAACAAACTTTTCAAACTATTCTAAGATATCTGAGTCATTGAAAGAAGGAAACTTAAAACTGACGATAAACCCAATGACAGACGAGTTTCTATTTCAAGACAATAAGAACCATACTGTTTGTATAAATCCAACAAAAGGAACTTTAAACGAGAAACCTATAGATGAACTTCTTTTGAAAGCAGATGTTGACAACAAAGCTGACAAAGAGTATGTCATTGAAAAAGTTCAAGAAGAACATGACAGAGCAGATGCAACATATGCAACAAAAGAACATACTCATCCTGAACTAGCAGACAAAACATATGTTGACAATAAAATGTCAAGTGAAGTGACAAGAGCTGACAAAGAATATTCTAAAAAGACTCATACACATACCATTGCAAATATTACAAACTTACAAGAAACCTTAAACAGGAAAAGTGACGTTGGACATACACATTCTATATCTGAAATAACAGACTTAAACGTTAGCCTTGAAAAGAAAGCTGACAAAACATATGTCAACAGTGAGTTAGAGGAGAAAGTAGATAAGGGACTTATGGCTAGTGTGTTAGTGAAGAAGGCAGATAAGGAATATGTGGATGAAAAAGACAATGAAATTAAAGAAAGGGTTGAATGGTATAATGAACGGACAACAAAGATTTTAGAAGGTAAAGCCAATACAGGGTGGGTTTCAGGATGTTTAGACCTTAAAGCTGACAAAGAAACTGTAGATATGTTGACACAAACGGTTTCAAGTCATACCAGAGGTTTAATGGAAGATGGACAACAGTTGAAAGAGCTTGAGAAAGGTGTTACAGAGTTAAGGAATACAAAAGCAGACTCGACATGGATAAAAGGATATGTAGATGCAACAAAAGAACGTATTTTCGCATGGACAGAAGGAACATACCCACAAAAATATCATAGACATAGCATCTCTGACGTAAATGAACTTGAAGAAAAGTTATATAAAAAAGCAGACAAAACAGAGCTTCAAACATTAAAGACAGAAATACTTCAAACAGTATATCCTATAGGTTCTATTTATACGTCAATGAACTCTACCAGACCAGAAGTAGTACTTGGTTTTGGAACTTGGACTCAAATAGTCGACAGGTTTTTGTATTGTGCAAACTCTTCAAAGGAAACAGGTGGAAGTAAAACGATTTCAGGTGAAAATTTACCTGCGCACAGTCACTACGTAGATTTAAGTACATCTCAAGCAGGTTGGCATAAGCATAGATATTGGGATTGGTCAGGAATGACAAAAGGTAAAGGATATGATGTTAAAGACAACGTTAAGTTTGCTATAAATTGTTACTGGAGTGACACTCAGGGAGAAGGAAACCATACACATCGCGTTACAGGATATACGCAAACAACGGGACAAAGTAAAGACTACATGCCACCTTACATGACAGTTTACGCATGGTATAGAATTGCTTAGTCGTCATTTTCACTTCTTTAGCATATTCGTCAGGAGTTGTCTTATATTTGTTAGGAACTCGTCTTGAAAGTATACCACCTTGAACCTTAACAAGTTTGAAACGAGGTCTGACAATAGTAGTTTTATCTTCTGCTTGCAGTCTGTACATTTTGCCATGTTTGCCTAAAACTTCATAATATTCTCTTGTATACTTTCTTCTATTTTTACGAACACGAATGCGAGTACCTGTCGAGTTCCCATTGTTGTCATAGTCAATAGTATTTTCATATGGGTCGCGCTTAGGTATTTCTAATTTTTTACTTTGTCACCTTTCTGAAGTTTGAAGGCCTGGCATTCTTTCTTGTTTGTTCTCTTTTGACTAAACTATAAATATATAGTCTTTCTCTAAGTCAGGGTTGTTTTTCATTTCTTCGGGGAGTGGTTTCCCAACCTTTTTTTTACGGTTATTGTAAATATTTAAAA